CATCTGATAGAACTCGTCGAACCAGGCCAGTTGATACTCGACGAATGGCATATATTCGTCGATATTGAGGCCCCCATAAGTTTGAGACAGTACCGCAATATCTGCGAACTCGTTGGCGGTATCTGATAGCCAACTCAGATAGTCGCCAAACACGATACCAGGCGGATATAAAGCTGTCCGTGGCCCGTCACCATCAAAATACTTGGCATTGTACTCATACGTGTTGGGAAGGCCGGTGTTATCGATCTGTTCAGAGGTGAGCGCGACGTCCAGGCCGAAGTACAATTGCCCCAGGCGACGGCTGTTGGGGGTAATGTTCTTGTAGAAGTCAAGCCCGTCTAAATGGATGTACTTCAGTTAGTAACCAATACAACCGTCCGTCGTCCCACATAGGGAGGCAAGTCCGAAGGGCAAGGAAAGAGCGCTGAGGGGAGGGGGGGGGGCAGCAACTGACGGCGCAAGATATCAAAGTCGCCACTCTTGAGAAGAGGCCAGAGGAGAAGACGCTGGTTTTGAGCAGTATAGGTGCCCCCAGACCATTTACGATAGTCGGGCGACCAGGGAGCACCGTCTGACACAAGGACCGGATCAAAGGTGAACAAACCGCCATTGAAACGAGTGGGGAATTGCCCACCGGCGTTACACCCCAGCATGAACCGGAAGTATTGGTAATTTTTCCCGACTTGGAATCCCTCATCGTTCGGACCAGCATCTGGGTTAATAATGATGTGCGACCGATCCCAGAACGATCGCCACCAGGCCACCGTAGTCTGCCGGTTGGCGTTGGGCATCGAGGCTGCCGACTGCATCAAGGCAGCAGACCATTTATCAACCTCAGTGGTCTGGTTTTGGCCAATAGCTACATAAAGCTGGTATGAAGTTGACGCACGGGGTGAAACCAGATGATAGGCTGTGTAGTTTGTAGACTGGTACTTCAATTGCTCGGTTATGCTTCCTGGACGCAGTTGTGGAGATGTCATGTAGGCTCCGAACTGGAATTTGGTCAGGGCACGACTGCATTCACCAGGCCTGTACACACACTCACAGTATTGTTGGTCATCGGGTTATAGAAGGACCAAGGATCCGCACGAGACAGATTCTGCTCGGGAATCTGCCATGCGAACAAGGGGTTGTCGGTGTTGTGATGATAACTCAATACCCCGCCTGAGACAAATGAGATGTTATCGGGATATTGTGTTGGCAGAGGGATAGCGGGAGTATATATAACTCCCCACGATGTTTGCCCTACGGCGTCATGTTAGCGGCACGCCACTCCTGGAGTGAAGCTGAGAGAGGTAGGGTGGCTATTACTTTGCTCTCCTTCTACCATCTGCCAGCCAGTAGTCCTCCAATTCTCGTACGACGCTGTCAGATTGACAGGGCTGCCAGCAGTAACATTCACATGTATCCCCGAGGTCTCGACGTCTACCCATATGTGGATGACCGTGTTATTATCACCCGTGAAACTAATATACCCTTCGTTTAGATGAAGTCTCTGTTCAAACTGAGTCGCATTGACTGCGAAAGGATTCGGTTGCATCCTCAGTCGCACACGACCGAGCTTTAAGAGAGAATTATTCTCATCGAACGCTCCGCTATGCGCTAGATAGAACAATAGATCACCTGTCGACGGTCAACGCGTGGTCCCCAAGTTTCCTAAGTCGGATTTCCGTGGTGGGCATACCGGATTCTGCCCAGACGTTCAAGCCCACGCTTCCACCACCCAAGGGCATTGAGTCTGCAGAGTTGGAGCTCTGAGTGTCCCAGATAGTATCATACTGGGTTGGAAGAACGATACCGAGACAAACATGAAGCTGGATTAACAGGGACAAGCCAATCCAGCCAGCATGAATGGCAAATTTTGGAAGGCACCACATAATCATGTAGCTGCAGTACCCTGTTTTTTGGTTGATAGACTAAACATTTAGAAACAGCGAGTGTCTTTAGATGCTAATTGGAACTATATATACACGGAGTATCTGAGCTAGCACTTGGAACATGGGACCTAACCTGCCATCGTTAGTGAGTAGGTGCTGGCTTGTACGGCGGTGGATCGTGACCATTGGGCAAAATAGAAATTGGCAATGCACTAGCAATATAGATTGATAATATAGTCGTCAAGATGGACGGTTCAAAGCTTCAAAGGAATCAGGGAAGGAACGTCATTTAGCCTCATTTCTAAATATTATTCATAATGAAATGACGATAGCCCACATAAAAGCGGGTATCTTCACCTGCTATATTCTTCTTGTTGAAGTTCGAACTTTCCAGGGATCCTAGATCCGTTTGATGCATCACTACTGCTTCGAAAACCCCGCTACTCACCTTGTACGGTTTGAGTGCATTGTTTAGCCTAGGTTTAGCAAGATTTCATTCTGAATATCCGGCAGGTCAAAGCGGGAGGTACGGTTGGTGGGATTTCCAAAGGGCAGTTTATCAGCGCTAATTAAGGCCTTTTGCATGTGAGCAAGCGCCTGCAGCTACTCTGCATGCCACAGAGTTGGTCATGCAGGGATGTATTAGCCACACGGAATGTGCCTATTTGCTTTAAAGGTACTGATGTAGCCATATTGCCCCAGCAAGCACACATACTATTCCATGGCATCTTATTTAAGACTCCCTTAAGGATATACTTTTGCCTAGTCCTAGCAATATCATCCGCCATGAGGAGAAAGGGAAGGGTGGATACGGCAGATTTTAGGACTTGCTTAGGGAGAATCACCGGCTATTTCTATTCAGCCCTTTCTCGGGAAATTTCGGGCCAACTGCCTTATGGTGGCGTAAGCACGAAGTCTGAATTTGAAGACGCAGTGGGCAATCACAAACTGAAATGAACAATTCCCTTAGGATTATTCGTGTTACGGCATCAGGGAATTATTGAAGATCCAAGATTTCGATAACCAGTGTATGTTTAATCATACAAATTCGTTATCATTTTGCCATCGTATGACCGTTCAGTAGTAACAGTCCTGCCCCACTTACTGTGCAGCCCGAATATGCACTAATAGTACATGACAATTGCGGACCAGCGACGGTCCGATGGAAGGAATGATATTCCGTAAATGGCATAGAAAGAGTACAATCTCGTCAGTACAACTCACCGAGTCTTAGAAATCTCAATCATCCTGGACTGACTGACGCGTATTGGAGCTGTTCGTCCGCCCCATTGGCCGCAGATACTGAGAATTACTCAGTACAGTTCCATATCTTCTCTGTGCATAGATAGAAGTTGCAAAGCTTTGTCACTATTATAGCTGAAGATACCCGGGTGTTATCATGATGTAGAGGCTGGGCTGACAGACAATGCATATTTTTCTTCCTCCTACTGGTACCCTATTTGAGAATAAATGTAGAGGATTATCTAAATTTTTGTTCCTCGATTTGACTAAAAGCTGAACAAGATGGAGAAATTGTGCCCATGTATGATGTTTACTGGGCCCATGGCCTGATATGGCTTGGCAGGAACACCGTAAACACCGGTTTTTGGGGCTGGAAGATCCTGGAAAGAGGAACTGAATTTTGGTAAATAGGCTAATAGTAGCTAACTATACAGAGTACTAGTTAACTAGTTAGTTAGTCTCCCTGTATACTTTAGTCAGCCCGCCGTTTTTATAAATACTACGAACAGGGTTAAAGATCGTCGCTATGGTTCCACCGGCCGCGCCATATATCTACAGTGCCGCTAAGCGTGGCATTGCTGAAACCACGGATCAGTAGCAGACCACTACTTCCGTTCGATCCGAGCTATCCTGGAAATTCGTTCACAACCAGTTATGCGATCACTGCGCCGTTGCAGTTAATCTGTAATGGGTGGTCAATTTGGTCACCGTGCTCATATACGGGTTCCCTGCTGCTGTGAATCCACTATTATTGCCACCAAGGGCCCCATAGGCTCTGCTAATCAGCCAGAAAGAAATCCTATTGATAAGCCCAGGCGCGCCACTACACGAGGGGGTATCCCTTTAGTCTACTGCATAGCTGGTATCAATCTTCCCAGCTGCACCGAGCTTGCCATATCATGTATGGGCCCGGGAGTAACCCCGGACTGCCCAAGCTACTTAGTATACTTACTCCGAAAGGCCAAACCGTGTGCACCGCTTGTAGCGTCAAAGCTCGAAGCAAGATGATTAAATTGTAGGTAGCTGGGGATTTAAGTTTACTGGGGCTGCGGGAAAGAGAGCCGCGAACTGAAAATCTGATCTGGCTCACACCCGAGCCTGCGCAAGGATCTCGTCGCTGCTGGATTGAACAGACATTTACTCCTAATGCGCATGAATTATGTGGTCCGTAACTGGTTAGGCTATTCATCTCCCCGCGTCCAACATAAACATGGATACATGAACAAGATCCGTAATGACTGTTCCTCCTAGAACTTACACCACCGCTCGGTTGAGCTGCATCCCTACGACCGAAATATCCACATAGACCTTCTGACTGGGCTATATTACTTGCACCGGCCCTACTTGGTACTCTGTTATCTCGGCTGATTACTAACTTCGTTTTCGGGCAACCAGGATGAGGATTGTTACAGGAAATGTTCGAACGGCGTGCCACAAGCAAACTTCTGGGGAGAGTAACATGATTCCCTGTGTTCATTTATCTCTTTTCCGAGAATACTTGCTTATTTACTTTGTATTTTACTTGAATGATTGGATACCATCATTAATGAATGGTGCAGGATCCAGAAACACACATGAGACAGGAGCACCAAATTAAGTGTTATCATATGACTTGAACAACCAAATCTAGCATAGTCAAAGAGTGAAAACAGCTTTGTAAAAAGAGAAGGCTGGGGTTATCTAACGAGCGTGAGCTATCTAAACGCACCCGATATAAAGGCAATATAAGTGAGACAGAAATGATAGTGGTTCTAGCCTGATTTATCGCAATGCGGAAAGACAACTGCTTTGAGCCCCTATCATTTGTCAGAGCCCTACCAAGTAGACCAAAAAGAAAACCATCTTTGCTACTCCGACTAGGCGGAGAGATAAGCCCCGGCTTTACATATTCGCCATAAGTGTGCTGTAAGCTGAGGCACCTGGGAAAAAGCTGGTAGGAATTGTCGGGATCGGAATAGAGGTCGTAGTATCCATGGATGTCGAAATCAGGCCGGGCATCGTCGTCTTCGGACTGTACGCGGTGACAGGCCTACGCAGGGTATTAGCACAGGTGATAAGGGGGCATCATGGCTGTGGTAGGCTGCATACACCGAGGTAATCGTGGTCGTAAAAGAATATGAGGCAAGGGTGCCATTTTGCTCTCGCAAACATTCGCCTTCGCCGTAAGCACTGGAGCATTCCTAAAAGAACATAAGTTCCAGCTTTGAAATCAGGACCGGAACCAGATTTTCATTACCTGTTTGACGTAATCTCCAGTCTGGGTGTGTATCAAGCGGGTTAGTTTTCGGGCATCATAAACATCAATTGCAATATGAAACTTACATCACTCCACAATTCAACGGCTGTTAGGGTAATATTCGTGCATGGATTCGCGTCCGGGCAAAGAATCCTGATGGGGCTTCGCTGAATGCCATTCGAACTGGTACCCTTCCAATTCTAGACTCGGTGTTAGATTCTGGGCGTTGCTGTGACTGGGAGGAGACGATACACACTTCAAAAACGATATTCTCGTACTTGATACCGTCACCATCGCTCTCATCACCCCAGTATGTATCCAAATCTAGCATGTAGGCGTTGCTATATCCAATGAAGTTCTTGAAAGAACAGTTTGTAACTGTGCCATTACCCCCATTGGACTTGATCATGTACATCTGAGTGGAGTTGTAAGTGTAGATGTTCTCGTATTCAATGTTAGAGATATTCGTGTCCGTTCCAAGTGATCCCATCGCGCAGCCGCCACTGTGGTTGCAAAAGACGTTTTCTACCCGGACGTTGGCCGATGGACTCTGCATTGTTCATCAGCAAGCTTTAGAATAGGCCTCTTGGCTCTAGGGTTGTGCAAAATAGACTACCTTCACAGTCACACATTCGTCGCCGTTAGTGACCTCAACGTCATGGATCCAGTAATTGGCTCCGGAGATATCGATTCCGTCGAGCCCTCCCATACTGGCGCCACGAATGACCATGTTGTACACCTCGCCGTTGTATGACTCAACTAAGTTGAGGAAGTAGGCCGGTGAATCCACCAAGATCAAGTCATGCACACTGAAATCAGTCACGTTGTTAAGTCGAAGAATCCGTGGCCCGTATTCGTCTTGCTCATGGAATAGATAACCGTAGCCCTGAATTGCTCCAGCAGAGTTATTACTGAAAATTTCGATATCATTGGTGTGTTCGACTAGATTGTATCTCAGCCTAATTCTCACATCATTGTCGGCTGTCTCGCATGTAACTCACTGAATATCATATTTCCTCCATCGGTGCTGCGGTTTGTTAGTGTTCACAAAGTGGCAGATTCATATAAGCGCATTCCTACACATTCTTGTCTCGATAAATAATGCCATCTAGTTGCAAAGCCCAACCAGAACCATAAACTAGTGACACCCACGACGAAAGGAGATAGTCCCCTTCCGGAATATAAACTGAATCACTAACATTAGTGTTTTCCTGTTGCTCTGCTTTTAAACCGCCATAAAGATACTAGTAGAACTTACCTAGTCCACCTGTTTGGCAGTCTTGGAAGGCTTCCTTGAGTGGCGGTCCGATATCAATGGTCGAATTTGCGGATGCCCTGTAGTCAAGTACGTTGCATACTACACAATGTCACGTCGAGTTAGCTTCTTGCGACGCATTTGCGCAACATAAATTATACCTTTCTCTGCGGCTTTCGCAGACGCACTCGTACGTGGCCCCACGGTCCCTGAGACCTGCGCCGCCGCAATGGCGGGCAGAAGTGCAATCAGAGAAGTAACAAGCATTATACTAATGAAGAACCGGGTTTTAAACTGCCGATGTGGAAGGAAAGATTTGAACCATAATGAAGGGCTTGTTTCCCTCTAGCATTCTTTCTTATATAAATACTACCTTCAGTAAATTGAGGGGATCTTCAGCCGCGTCACTAGAAGAGTCGATCCTTCAGGGGTGATGAAAATTCCCAACGTCCCGAATGTTCTGCTATCATCATTTCATGCCACATGCCACCACATGTTGTGGATGTGAAGCGTGTGTATTATCATTGGTTCAAGCACCAACAATTTTTTAGCCTAATTTGGGAAATTTAGAGAGCGACGATAAATTCCCGAGAAGAAGCTTAGCGAGACCCTAGATCGAGCCCAAAGGGAGACATGATTTTGAGCGCTCCACTTGCAAAATCTGTGTACACAGTCTACGAGAACGAGACCTCGCCAATTTTTTCTTTCGGTAGAAGCATGCCCTGACGCTAATGACGACGCAGGCGATCCATTGCCTATTAGCGCCTCCAGCGGGCCGCTTTTTGACCCGCTCTCGGGAAGTTAGACTGGAACCATCCTCCACAATTGGCTGGTTCGGCTCATACCATCATTGACCATGAGATTCCACCCAGGTATATACCCATTGAAGCGTATACAGGTTTTCTTTCTTGTCACTGGAAGCGACAGAAAGGGATCGTCTCCTGGGTAATTCAAAATCAACCGATCTGCTGTCTCAATGCTTCCTGCGGTGGGGGAGGTCTGGACACGCTCCGTTCCCTTTCCAGACGGAAAAGTATGTTGTCAACGCCAGTATATATGCAGTTTCAAGTCCCACCATGAACGTAGAACCTAGTATAAGCTATTCTCCTGCATATAAACTTATTCAATGTTGTCACAAGCTTGCAGACTTACAAGTAGTATGTTTTGTGTGTGGTTGCTGGTTGCCTTCTCGCTCTCATGGCCGTCCCTTGCCCTGAACAGCGGCGACTATATGGTATGAAATGTTCAACCACTCCTATTCGGAACAATAATAATAAGCTGACTGTGGGGCTACCTATCAGGGAAAGCTTCCTGCTATGGGCTGGAACCCCTGGAACACCTATGGTTGCAATATTAGCGAGGAGATACTGCTCAGCACAGCCGAGCAACTAATCAATCTCGGCCTTCTAAAAGCAGGCTATAATTACGTTAACAGTATTTACCCTTCCCGTATGCTCACTAAAATACGCAGTTTCTAACAAGCCACAGTCGACGATTGTTGGTCTGTCAAAAGTGGCCGGGACAATGTCACCCAACAAATAATCCCTGATCCAGCCAACTTTCCTAATGGAATCAGTGAAGTAGCCAGTACTCTCCATAGTCAGGGATTGAAGTTAGGCATCTACAGCAGTGCAGGAACCACTACCTGTGCTGGGTATCCAGCTAGTCTAGGGTATGAGGACATCGACGCCGCCACCTTCGCATCATGGGGGGTTGACTATCTGAAGTATGACAATTGCGGTGTTCCTTCGAACTGGACTGATCAGTACAATTCTTGTACCGACCGCTGGACAGACATGCAAAATGATACCTGTATTGGCCTCACGAACCCAGCGCCTCCAGGATATGATTGGTCCAAGTCATTGACAGCAGTACGATACGGTCGGATGAAGGATGCGCTACAAAGGCAGAACCACTCCATCCTCTATGCTTTGTGCCCCTGGGGTTTTGCCGAGGTCCAAACCTGGGCAACAGGAGTCGGGGCATCCTTTCGTATGAGCAAGGATATAAAAGCGAGCTGGGACTATGTGCTGCTTATTCTCAACGAGAACTCATTTCTCATGAACTATAATGATTTCGGGTAAGCGGAAGGCCCTATGACCCAACCCGGGAGTTGAGTGTCAGCTAATCCGTTCGCAGCATTCATTCAGACGCTGATATGCTAGAGGTCGGAAATAACGGTCTTACTTTCCCTGAGCAGCGTTCGCACTTCGCACTTTGGGCACTGATGAAGTCACCACTCATTATTGGTTCGAAATTGTCCAACCTAAGCGCTGACCAATTGTCATTGCTTACGAACCCCTACTTATTGGCATTCAACCAGGACCCTGTTTACGGGAAGTCAGCTGCTCCTTTCAAATGGGGCACTAATCCAGACTGGAGTTATAATGCTAGCTTTCCGGCTGAATACTGGGCGGGAGAAAGCCAGCAAGGAATGTTTGTTGCTCTCCTTAACACGGCCAGTACCGCCAAGAATAAGACAGCTCTCTTTTCAGAGATTCCGGGTCTTCAACAGCACAGGTATGGAATTATTGATGTTTGGACAGGACACTATTTGGGCTGCTTCCTGCATGACTATACAACGTCAGTAGAGCCTCATGATATAGCGGTTCTAATTTTCACGAATTGCCAGAAATAAGAAAGGGGTCAGCGTACAGTGGAAGGGATCAATAAGCCGAATTTATTTGCCTCCTATGTTACTATTTTCCACTACCTGACTTTCTTTCTGGCCAAACCTTCTTTATATCTCATGTCTATAGCCTGCTTTACTCGCTCCTGCGTTTTAAAGACTACAGGATGTAGAACATTTGCTTTGCTCACCTTACCAGACTATCTGCAAACTCAAATCAAGAGCGTGATTACAACTCAATCTCTGGTAAGTGGTCAGTAACAAGCAAAATGGAAAAATAAATCCAAGAAACAAAAACATACAACAGAAGGGATTCGCTGGTGGTCACCCACCCAACTACTAACCTCCCGGCGTGTGGCTTAAGTACGGCTGAGCGGACGGGAAGCCCTGTTTTCCACACCCTGTGGTCGTATGTATCAATTCTGTCTTGTGTCTAAATCATATAGGCTCTATGCAATGACCTGGAGGTAAACAAGCAAGGTGGATGATCGCTGAATTGTGGTGTTATGGGGGATACAGATCCCTAAAGCTTAGATAGATTAGAGAATACAGTCTATAAGATTTCTCTAGCTGAGTAACTGGATGTAAATCTTCTCTATTAGTTAAGTAAAAACTATAATATTTAATTAATTAAATTTTCTTTTAAATAGATCCGCGGCTAGAATAGCTAAAGTACAGCACTTAATAAAAACAATATTTATTTCAGCTGGTTTATGGATGTTGATGTCCGGCAGCTCTGATTATTTAAATAAAAATATACTTACTTACTTAGATAGAGCTAGTCTATTTTATATAAAATTATTAATATATTATAATATTTTATAAATAGAATAGGATTGTATAGAGAGTAGTAGACTATAAAAAGAAGATTAAATAAAATCTAAATAATATTATTTATTTTAGCTGTCTGCTTCAGAGGTTTTTATATATTAAGTATTTACTTTAAAATACTTCAGTTATATCAGAGAACAAGTGTTAGGGGCGTTGTAAGAGACGTGATAAGTTTAATTATATGTGCGAGCACTAGCTACCGTCCTGTTTTGAACTGATTACTGGTTTTTCCTAGTATCGGAGGGGCCAGTAAGATGTATTATAGAAGTGAATTATATAATCTCATCTAGTTTATATAATTTATAACCACATGTTATTTCTATGATCTGCTGGATTATAATAAGCTAGTTAATTTATTTTAATATTAATTTTTTTTCCAGAGTAGAGTGGTTATACCTGACTGTTATATCTTAACCTAACCTTAACTGTAACCTGACGGTTAGGTTAAGATATAAGAATTCTCTTAACCGTATGGTTAAGGATAGGTTACAGTTAAGAGATTAGTTTAACTGATCTGAATCTCGGATCTTGACGGGCCTCAGTCCCGGGCTATCCTGTAATAATCACCTAACCATGGGCTTGACCCTACTAATTACCAAATGCAGCCTCGTAATCGCCCCGGACGCCGCGCACGTCCGTGAGCCTGGCTGCCGCTGCAATGACACCTACCCCTCACTACGGCCAGGGATTTGGCTTGGACCCCCAAAATAACCCTCTTTACTGTTACCTAAAACTTGTCGACGGCGAATGGTCCCTCGTCCGGGCAACATGTGCTAGATTTCTGGCCAGCCTTGCAGCTAGATCCAGACACATAACAACCAGTAACAGCTTGCAATCTTAAATAACAATGAACCCACCTGACGCCATGTGTGGCCAGAAAACAAAAGTCCGATCTTGAGAACGTATCTAAGTACGTAAACCTCTCAGTACCTGATCCACATACTACGAGCGGCCCATGGCAAATTAGAATGGATCGTGCCTAATCCAAGCCTGATCAGCCCCAGCGCACGGCGCTTGGCATGGATGATTGTCTTCCTCGGACAAAAAACCAAACTGGGTACACTGAAATAGGCATAGCATGCAGGGAAGATCGGGCACTCAAGCGTAACAAAACGAAAAGAGAAGGGAAGGAAAGGAAATGGGGGGAGCGGGCGTGTGATGGACCGAGGCAGCAGGGGCATGGACAAAAGTCCAAGCTACGAAGGGCTGATGAGAGCAGATGGACCCTAGTCCAAAACTGGTATTGTTTGCCCGAGCACCCTTGTTTGACCTAGGCAGCGGGCCCATTTCATAAAAGGTACGGAGTAGGTCAGTTTGAAATCTTTGAGTCCCGCAACTGTTCCTTGTTAAACAAAGGATGCCCCAGTAATCCAGCGAATCATCATGTCAAGCGCTACATCCGGCCGATCTTGGGGCAACTACCATAGTACCAACACTACTCGTTAGCCAACTGGGTCATTAAACCCCTCTCTCCTAATTTTACTTTGACTTACCAGGTGTCCAGCGTTGTCCACAGTCACAAAGGCAAAGCGTGGCGTTTCGTCCGTCCCTTCACCGACCGAAACCTGAATTTCCTTCGCAACCCCCACAGGTTCCTGGCTCCCAGAGTTGATCGAGACCCACGGAAGTAAGGGCTTTGCTGTAAATTCTGTCTGGCCTTTCCAAGAAAGCGAGTTCGCCCAACGTAGGTTGCCAGCCGTATTACAGGCGAGATCAAGGTTGCCTTGATACGCTAAGAAGTCAACATTATTTGCGAGTAAGAAAGCGGTCTGCTTCGAGCTCGACACCATGCCGTCCGCTGATTGAGCAAATGCATCAATAACAGAAGTAGCGACGAATTTGTATTCGGTAACCTGTTGTGGTGGCGACAGGGCCTCCCAAACAGATGGCGAATTCAAATATCTCTCAATTAGAGCCGCTTCGATATAGCACATTTCGTCGATCTCACAAGGTGCAGTGACTGTCGTCATCCTTAGCAATAATTTGGCCATGAGCCTCTGATGATAACAACTCACTATCAAATCTGTTACGGCCATCAGCGCCGGCCTCGTTATCATACCACCCTACAACACCATCGTAACAGACGGACTGGGCCGCATGACATATCGCGGGGTCTGAGTGTTGAATGCATATGTCATATAGATCCATACAGTGCGGCATATTCGCCGCCATAATATCACACCTAGTTTCATTGAAGATAGGAGATGGGACTCCTGGGTTAGTAGTACACAGTGTTTCCCAATACCCGAACGTTGCATCCTTGGGTGACATGAATCCGTTACCCACCAAGCACGATTTCAGCGGTATCCTGGGGCTATCTTTATACAGTTCATTTTGTTCCAAGATTTGGGTCGCCAGATAAGGAATGTACCGGCCCTACACAGTGTATCACAAGGTAATTGCAAGAACCGATGCATGTCCACCGCGGCTTCACGTGAGTCATGAGGCAGCTCATAGCCCTCATCGATATAGGAAAACCCGACATCGACTGGCTGGTCAACAAAAAGAAGTGATGAATTCTTGGTCCAGGCCCAGGGGTTGTGATCTGTTCCATTCCCAAACTCATTAATCCGGCAAGGGCCAACTTCTTCGAAAAGTCCAATCATACTCGAATCTCCTGGGCCCCCAGTCATCCATAGCGTTAGGGGATCATGGAAGGGGTCATTCTGGCTTTCAAAATACCAAAAGAAAAGATGCTTCGGGCCAATGTCGAGCCAACCAGTGAATTGGGGTGAACGAGCATCACAGATCGAGTCATTCTGCTCCTGGATGCGAATTGAATATGCCGGTAAGTGTGGGCTGCGAAACACCGTAAAGGGATCAGCCCCCTCTGGCCCTAACACGGTCTGCGTAGCGGCATATACTTGGCTGCCGAACAGGGCAGTCGACAAAAGGGTGATCATTGAGCAGGGTGGGTTATAGGATATTGAATTCAAACTGGCAGTAGCAACAGCACCGGAGGGGTTGGTTCAGTCAGCTTTGCGGGGTCAGTTTGATTCAATGGATGAAGCTATCATCGTGTAAGCATTGATTAGTTGGTGAAGTCTAGCCAAAGAGAAAAAATAGAGAGAGAGAAGAGCGAGAAACGGAATAAACACGGAGCAATGTAGTTTCATTCAAATGTGATGTTGCTTGGTCGTTTTCACCGATCGTGAAATTCTCCTTCTCTGGGGCCTTTGCATTCTTCCTGATGAAATTATAAAACCGACTGACCAAAATTATTGTAGAGTTTTGGAGCTCGAGATTCTCTCAAAACATACGGCAGATTAGATGACCCTGATATGACGGAACTGTGAACCTAGGGAACGTGCTCAATCGGTGTTTGCATTCTAGAAGGGGTGGTGGACGTTATGGGTCACGGGGTACACTATGCTACTGTGGCAGAAATGGGCTGGGCAAACAGCTGATTAATACACCGAGTTTAACTAACTAACTATGCGGTATACGGGCGGGCCTTTCTCGGTCTCAAGCATTGATACCGGCATCATTCATTCAATGTTATCCGAGGCTAACAAGAGCATCGTACATTTCACTGATCTAATAGGTTTGTCATATAGCGCCGTAACTCGGAAAGATTATAGAATAGCTTTATACTTTATTAGCGAGAGACATCTTATTACCTCAGTTTGTGCACGTTGCACCCAGGTGTCGATATAGTTCTATAGGATCTACCTGAGCAAAATCTGGATTCTGCCACAAGACAAAGACGTGGCAGGATCGACGGCCTGTGTCGCTGACACCTGATATTTGTCAACACCGATAATAGCTATAAAAAGGAACAAATTCAACTTGCAACGAACCGGAGACTATGTAAAAATACAATAGAATGTATGTTTAGTACGCCGTCGGGCTTGGCAGGTATATAGCCCACAAGTAGAAAAGGCTAGTAAAATCTCAACCCAGTCTGTATTATATCCCTTGTGTATTTGGAACTTCTACTAGGTATCAGGCCGTGATCAATTCACTAGATGTATTATACTAGCTTGGGCGATCCTCGTGGTAAAATTACCCACTGTCATCGAGACACACCCTAACTTTAGTGGATATTTTAAGCTTGCGCGGCAGGGGAGCTTGGGCCTGTAACTCTGGGTCTTTGGGATGTGTTATTTCTTTTAATACGATGCATAGAGAGAAAAAGCCAGCTAATCTTTTGAATGAGAAGTATAGTAATTTTTTAAGTGTAAAATATCTGCGCCCCTTCATGAGTAAATTACCGAGCTTTCATCGGCTCAGGAACCTAACACGAGTCATGACAATGCCAGGCTTCCCTCTACTATCTGGGTAATTGAGTACTAGTTCAGAAATAGCATCTCGCTAAATTATCAAAGTGGCTATTCGCATTGCCAATCTAAAACAGCCACTAGAGAAAACAAAGAAAGCAAAGCAAAGCCGCTCCAATATTGCGTTGGAGTTAAAATAAATTATCCGGGGAAAAATAACTCCAGAGCGGCAGAAATTCGAATACATGCGTCTTGAAGCTAACTTGGGCGATCTTCATGGTAAAATCGTAAGGGATCCCTCTCTGTTTAGCATCATTTCAAGGAAAGTTAGATGAATGCTTTTAGATCATCTGGCAGATTGGGACTTTACTGGTCTCGAATTGTGGTCTGATTGCCCCCCGGACTAGTCGCAGGGAAAAGTTACGTGCCAGATTTCAGCCCCAGACGGCGTCCCCACCGCAAATTGCGTTTATGGAACATGGGAGTGTTACAACAGGTTGGGTGATCGTCGTGGTAAAATTACTGCCAGTCATTGAGAGACTTTGTTATCCACTCATACTTTCATTTCGCGCCTTGGGGTTTTTGAAATAGAGAAAGTCATGATTCTAGCCGAAAGACCCGCCCAGCGGGCCTTTTCACTCTACATATGTCCTGTGCATTGGTCTAAAGGAGCTTTATACATGCCATGGCTGCCCCCAAATACCTATTGTTCTCTGGTACGAACGATGTTTTCCTTCAGGTTTTCTTCCTTCATCCTGACCAGCCTTTGGTTTTTACCATTGCGGATTCTTCCTGTCAACGGCAAAAGAACCATTGACTATGTATATATGTTATCCGGTGCCTTGGAAAGATAACCTATTTTAGTAAAAAAAATAGCATCTGCATACTTTCAACCTAAACATAATGCTTTTACCCTCGAAATAGCCTTTGCCACTAAGCATCAACTAGTAGAATACACATTGGTTGGAGGCGCATACAAACACAAAGAAATTTTATCAATAATAAAAATAAGAGTACCAATGGTATTGAACTGTACCCGGATTTCTGTGGCTCTCGGATCGATTTTCTTATCCCCTCCGTGCTAAGCAAGTGCACATCCTGGAAATATGCCTTGTGCGGTGGGGAGAAAATGGGTTCTAGCACACTTCAAGGCTTTTCCAGACTCAGTATCTCCGGTCTCAGACTTATCAACGCGTATGGGCCTTGCGAGGCATCTGTCGCCTGCACAATGGGAGAGATCGACTACAAGAGAGCAAACCTTTCTGGAAGTCACGGTCCTATCCCAGTTGGAGAAACGCTACCCGCTTATGCCATCCACATCTTGGACGGCCAAATGCAGCCGGTAGCTACAGGATGGCCAGGCGAGATCTGCATTAGCAGTGGCGCTGTATCATCATTTGGTTATTGGAATCGAGAGGATGAAACCTCGGCGCGTTTCCGGGACTTCAACGGCGTCCGGGTCTACAAGACTGGAGACTACGGCCGCATACTGCCCGACGGTAAACTGGAGTACCGCGGGCGACTGAAGGGTGACTCGCAAATCAAGCTGCGGGGGATGCGTCTGGAGCTTGGGGAAATCTCCAGCGTCCTTGTCCGGGCGTCCCAGGGTGTGCTACGGGAGGCTGCAGTGATTGCTAAGGGGCAACCGGAGCCGTACCTTGTAGCATTCGTGGTCTTTTCCACCACCTCTGACTCCCCAGTCAATGTTGACTCTTTCCTCGACAGTCTGCGTAGCGGGCTTCCTCTTCCCGCATACGCCAAACCCACGGTGATCACCGTTATCGACCGCATCCCGTTGACCAGCAGCGGCAAAGTTGACCGGACAGCACTGGGCAAACTTCAGATCCATCAACGGCAAATAACAACTTCTACATCAGGTGCGCTGAACATCGTCGAAATGAAAATGAAAGAGCTATGGGAAGAACTTCTCCCGGTAACGGGGCTTCCTATCACGTCGCGGTCCAATTTCTTCGACCTAGGAGGCAACTCGCTGCAGATCCTAAGGCTACAGGGACGCATTCGAGCGATCACGACTGTCAGCATCCCGGTGGTGCATCTCTTCCAATGCTCAACACTCAGCGAGATGCCTCAGTTGATTGGAGCGGCCACAACTGCGCACCGAGCATCATCCCCACCTCCTTTAGCACAAGCACCTCCCAACACGATCCTGGGAGATCGAAACCGCTATTCCCAGCTCCTTCGATGACTCCATCGCCATCCCAGACCCTCTCAATCACCCCGCACACCCGCCTCGAGAAGTTATCCTCACCGGCACAACAGGCTTCTATGGCACTGCACTCCTCAACCACCTCCTCTCAATACCATCCATAACCCACATCCACTGCCTCGCCATCCGCCCCAACGCAGACGGCTCCCCCCGACACCTTCCGCACCTCTCATCCCCCAAAGTCCACCTCTACAGTGGCGACCTCTCGCATCCAACCCTCAGCCTCACAGAAGTCGAAGCCACTCGCCTCGCCTCCACCGTCGACTGTATCATCCACAACGGCGCCGACGTGTCATCCCTGAAGCCGTATTCCGCGCTGCGTGCCCCCAATGTCCACTCCACCAAATTCCTCTTCAGTCTATGCATTCCCCGCCGCATCCCCTTCCACTATATCTCCACCGCTAGCGTCACGTCTCTATCCAAGAAAGACGAATATCCCGAAGCTTCGGTAGCAAGCTACCCCCCACCCACGGACGGCTCGGCCAGTGGACATACAGTGGGCTATGCGGCAAGTAAATGGGCTAGCGAGGTTTTCCTTGAGAAGGCTAGTGCGAGATATACTGATGTCCCGGTTCGTGTTTATCGTCCTACAGCTATCACTGGAGAGGGGGATATGGCTATTTCAGCGACGAGTGGTGGTGTTATCGAGTCTGTGTTGGATCTGAGTAGAGAAATGCGGGCTACACCTGAGACTGGCTCCTGGAGGGGGTATATTAATCTGATTGGGGTGGAGAAGGCGGCTGCGATGGTGGTGGGAAGGGTTGTTCATGATAGTGGTAGCGGTGATTATTGTGGGAATGCAGTACAATACTCGCATGTCTGTGGGGAGAAGCGGTTCAAAGCGATTGAAGTGAGGAAGTTCTTGGAGAAGGAGGAGGGGGTGGAATTCCAGGAGCTGAAATGGAAGGAATGGTTGGCTAGGGCCGCTGATTATGGGATTGATGATGGGGTTGCGGCTTATTTGGAAGGATTGCAGGGGGAGACTGGTAGTGCTGGGGAGTTTTTCTTTTTGCCGTTGTTGGGGGGGCGGATTAAGTGATTATTAGCTTTGTTTCGTAGAATTTAGATTTCATCCGATTTACTATGCTTTTTTTTCTTATAGAAGAATAGTTCTCATTACGATAATCTCAACTGAATATTTGAGTTTATCTTACCTGGAGAACTTCGATTTCTGTAAGGTTTTAGTAACGTGGATTATTGTTCAAGCCTTCGTTACTCGCAAGATATATAAGGATCCACATGATGGATAACAGAACAATAAATTCAGTTGTGGTCGTCAATTCCGATACAATGTAGTGTAAATTTCTATACTGATACTAATGATGGATAAATATAAGCCAATAAAGTAAGTAGTAATAACGACAGCAAAAAGAAAAGGTATCTTATTACTCTGTAGCAGTTGAAGAAGACCTTGATCATGGGAAATTGTGTTTGCCGCGGAAAGAAAAACAAAAGAAGAACTCCGATGCGGGGAATCGAACCCCGAGCTGCCGTGTGAAAGACGGCGATGTTAGCCGTTACACCACATCGGACTTGTTATGTGGGTCAAGCGGTTTACAAGCACCATATTCTGATGTTATTAAATCATGTAAACAATGTTGCTATGGGATGGGAACTAAGATTAAGAGGGAGTGGCATTTATTATCCCGTTGATATGGCTTATGCTTAGGGGTGTTAGCAGCAAAATAGGTTTGCATGTAGTGAATTATATGATTAAATGGAGGCAAATAGACGCATAACCAACGGACTTTGATGATGCTGAATTGTGGATGTTTAGGAGACTCCATGGCTAGGGAGTAAATAAGTCACCTATAATGCCACAATGAGATGGTTGGCATTACCAATTCCAAAATGACCTGCCCTCATCCTCATTGTGATCCCTCATCTTGAGTGTCACCTCCCAAGTTCTGTCACATTTATCTTTCAATTGCCATTGCGCGTTGATAAGGCCCTGCGACTGAGCCGAGTCCATCAATCTCCTGACCAGACGTCCCATCTTCTTCTGGGAGTGTGAGAAGTCGGAATCTCCCCTGCTTGATGCTCGCTCGGCGGCACTTTTAAACTTATTCTCCAGTTCCTGTGCGAGGTAGGCTGATGAAGTATAGATAACCCTCATTTTCTCTGATACTTGCATCGCAAATGAATTCGCTGCCGCCTCCAACCCCTCCAACCCTCCTAATATCCGCTCTAGTAGATCGGCCCTTTCAAGATGGATGGATGTTGAGCTGACGGATTCTGCCAGGGGCATGGCGACGCTGCTCTGCAAGCGGAGGACATGATCGAGTTCAGTGGTTTCGAACATGTCAAAGGATTCGTCGTCGTAACTACCGTCGTCCGCATAGTGGGATATGTCAACAGTGCGGAAGAAAGCATGGGCGACCGGGACCATGATGTGGTTTGCATCCTGCGCAGGAAGATTGTATAGGTGATTGGTCTCGAAGCCTTCATTTTTAAGTACTTCGGATTCCACGGTACCGGAGATCACCTTGACGGACCTGCCGACGATGTTGTTGAGCCCATGTAGGTTCATGCAGCCGTTCATATTATTAATGACTCCGAGGATGGATCCTGTGCAGTTGTCATTCTCGTAGACAATGACGGAGTGTTGGTCATCGTAGATATTGTCAATTTTCAGAAGGATTGACTTTGCATTGATATTGCTGAGTTTGCTGCACGCACTGGGTCCTGCAAGTCGATGAACTCCAGCTTCAGCTCTTGTGCAGCGCTCGCCTGTGTACTCTGTTAGACGGTACCCGAGAGCTGTAGCAAAGAGGACCGAGATAACCAGAAGACGAAGCATGTTGATGGAATGGCGAGCAGAAGGCACTAGTGGTGATTCGAGGAACGGAATGCAGGACATTCTGGGTATCATGATAGGACCGAACCAGTTCCTTTCTCATGAACCCAACTCGAAGGTAGAGACTTGTGGACGCCGGATTTATGGCATCGCCCAGTTCATTAATACCTCCGTGCCTGGCGGCTGTGGAGTTCCGCCCTCCAAAATCCCCTAAAGCTTAGCGCCATCATGCGGGGCGTTCCGGTTCTCCAGCACAGGAAATGATATTCATCGGTGAGCTCAAGTCTCAGCCTTGTGAGGCGGCTGAACCCGAAGCCAGCGCTCTGTACTTATCACCCAACCTTGCTCAATTTGTTATTCGCACCTCAAGGACTACTTGCCTACAAATCACTAGTGCATGATTCAAATCATATTATATGGTTTGAGACAGTGTAAAATGGGCGTCCCAGCTGTACAACCGCTTGAAATAAGTTGCACAACTAGATATTCGCAGAACCGGCGTGGTCGGGATCCCAGAAGCGGAAGGACCGAGACAAGCCCTCGAAGGGCACCGTCAAATGATTTCACTCACCGTCGAGAAACGGGGCACTAAGGCACTATGACTGTTTCAGTTGGAACTACTCCGATGTTATATGGCCCAATGTATTCTTTGGTAATCACATTCCCAATTGGTTGATAATCAGTGGGCCTTCCCTGGGACCCCTGTAAGCGGAGATTCTTGGTTATCGTGTTCTCAAGCTAGTTAAATATTGGTGTCTCAGAAATCCTTGAACTGATTCTGCTCCAGTATCTCACATTCTAAGATTGCCCTTCCGTCTGGAGTATGTTGTACTATATTGTGCATGTCATCTGGCATCTTTGGTAGGTTTACATAGCGAATCGGTCCCCATTAATTAGGGTATTTGCGTGAGTTTCATCGTTCTGTATCCATACTACCAATCTTGACTGAGGCCTAGATCCAACACAGTTGACTTCTGATCCTTCTATAGCATATAGTATGTATATCACCACACTTTTCCGTATGTCCTTGTCCCATGTAGTGTGCTATACGCCACGCATACCGGCCTTTCTGTCCTCACAGACCTTCCCCCCATGCAAAGGGATTTGTGTAATACTGCCCGATATAGTTGTTTATCATATCCCAACCAGCAAACATTAAAGCGCCTGTAGCAGGAGTTATGCCCGTCTCGTCACGAACCCATTGCGCCCAGAGAGTGTAGAAAGCGTCTAAGAGACCACCTACTATCATTGCACGGGCAGTGATGAAACCCAGCATTACAATTGCCTGAGACTCAATGGGAAGACAATGGGACAAGTGATAGTGCAAAACATTAACCAGGTAATTCCACCGTTGAGACGGGGAAAACCGCCCATGGTCTTGAAAGACGAATCGATCGATGACTGTCTCACGAGAAGAGCTGCGCAGTTTCGAAATTATGAACCGAAGAAGCGCTGTTGCTATCCCATGCTGGTCTGTGTGATAGTTCGATATGGAGTTGCTGGTTGTGCTCAAGCTCGCCTCTATAGACAAGCCTGAAGTATCAAGAAGTTTGTCTAAAAGGGAAGGATCGGATACATTGAGGTAGCGGGAATCTGGATCCGAGTTTGTGGGACGCACTGCTGTTTCTCTAGCGAAGGCGGTTTTGGCATCTGGGTACTCGGTGAAAGAGGTATAGAATCGTGGAGTCAAGATTTCGATTTCCAGAACGGGTCTGGGGTGGGATGTGGGGGGAATAAAAGAGTTGAACATAAGGCGATCGAAGTGTATCGATCTTGGTGGTATGTATTCGATGCACAGTGGAAATGTACAATGAGCGGCGAGTTCAGACAGATATTCTCGGAAGAATAGTTCCAAGTATCTGCCTCATTTGAAAGATGTTAGGAACTTATAATCAAAAGGAAGATGAGATATGACTGACCTTTCAACATTAGTTTCCTTCCGTGGATTCGTCCCTGGGTGAATCTCAGGCCTTTGTAGATACTTTAGATTACCACGAAAGCGAATTCGCAAAGCCTCCTTGACAATCCGGGGTGCAGACAATGCTCCGACATGCGTCCAACGGGAAATGAACCGAGCAATATCCCAACCACTGGCCGTCAAGGGATCGACGGGATTACCCCAAGATGCAAGACGACTTGTGACTTTCACCTGACCATCCGGGTTGTTGGAGCTCAAGGTGGACTGGAGAGACGGACCTCTCAGAATGTCCACAGTCTTTGCAAGCATATAACCCTCCACTTTCTCGAAAGGCGAACCGAAGATTACTTTATCCCAGTAACCTTTGTAATATTTTCTACTGGAAGCGGGGGAGTGGGAGCGAAGAGATACCGACTCCCTGGTACCCTTGGCTGAGGCTATAATCGTCGACGAAGGAGATGGTGGCTCGTCAATAGGCATACCGTCCCCAGTCAAGCGGAAGAAAATGTTTCTCTTCTCGTAGAAAGAGTTGTTGATCTCCATGATCATTGCAGTCAACTCCCGCGTCGGTGAGTAGAGATACCAGTAGCTGATCGCACTTTTCTGCCACCATAAGAACCGCGGGACGCTGATCATGTAAGCGTATGGGAATTTCTGAGGGTTCTCTCCCTAGAGAAGTTAATGATGGAATTGCAAGATTGCAGGCAGGGGTCGGATAGTACCAGGTTGTGCAAGAAGATATTCAATTTCTCCTCAAGCGTTCGGTCACCACTGCCAGGTTCGAGATAGTAAGCCGGGTCGATGGTAAACCAGCATTTCTCCAAAATGCTCTCTGACGTTGGCTGATTGTCTATAGAGATGAGGTTTCCGATGCGACCGCGAAACCCCACTGGGACGCCTACCATGAAGTAGTCATACCAGTAGTTGTAGCGTTCACTTGCAGGGAACCTGCGTGCGTGGGACAGTTTGGCTGGAAAAAGAAGAGGCCTGCCTAGCAAATCTGGTCGCACGTGGGGATTATGTATAACCAGGCGCTGTCCCAGGAAAGTAGCCATGACCAGTCTAACGAGCAGGCATAGGATGCCAGCTACGACAAACAAAGCTAACAGCTTGAGGATATCTTGCAATCCAGCGTGTGCCGCCTTCAGTATCAGATGCCCTGCAACGATTATCAAGTACACAAGATTCTGGAGACGCATGATGTCAGAAAGAGATACCGAGAGATGCTGATTGAACACACAGAGCTAGTCATAAGAATCATGAAGTCAGGATGCTACGCTGGCGGTACTTAAGCATATCTACTCAAAGCCTCCTATAGATTAAAGTTAAGCTGAATAATTATCACCAGTCTCAGCCCGCGACCGTACCAGAAACATTATCATGCATACAATATCAAAGAAAGGATATTGCAATCTTGCTATCGGGTAGATCAGTGCTTCGCAGCTGGCATATACACGTCACTTGGCTAGCAAGGGAAGTTAAACATTATCCCTACAAGACAGTTGTCCCATCCCATTTGCTACTGGGGTATGACAGCTGCATCCATCTAACTAGGAACGTGCGTATGTCGGCAACGCCGAAGTTGAAGATGGGTAAGCAACATGGACCACCGGTAATGCATATAGATGCATCTCCGAGGGAGATTGGATGGTTCAATATGGTCAGCAACTGCCTTTCCTATCTATTTGTATGGGCCTCCAAAACGTCTCACTATTACTACAAAATGGGCGATCAGTATATTGTGAGCAGCGGGAGTGACTGTACTAATATCATAAAAAACCCTTATTATAGGAATGTCAATTATATTTAGGTTTCTATCTTAACTTTGTCTCCATGTTATTCCTTTGCGAACACCGACTGACTCATGTCATCCACACGACCTTACGCAGCACCTTGTGTGTTGACGGAACTTGAGTTCATCAATACATGATAACTAATCTGTGTAGTGATATGAAAGATGCAAGGCACGCATGGCCAACTTCACTCTCAAATGTTCGGAATAATGACATATGTAGATGGTCGGACATAGGACACCGCGTAAATGGCATGCATCATGCAGCTCACTGATTTAGGACACATAATTGACAGCCATGTTTGTGCAGATTGAAACAAAGATATGCCTTGTAAATCTCACCGGGCTCGTAGAAGGAAAGTCCTTGCGAGTCGGCAATATGCTGTCAGCATCTGGACTCCGCGGAAGTTGACAGCTGCGACCTGACACACAGTACCAGAGTATATGCTTCGGATATTGCCGAAGGAAGATCCCCTAGTGCGTCCTGAATCAGAACGGAGCAGACTATGATCTACGGTTGTGATCATCACAGCGTGGATTGGTTTCACAATCACCGAGCTTATTCTGGTGGGAACAACGACATTCACCCCCACTGGCAAATCAAGAACAAAAACCCACACATTACTGTCAGACACAGCAGCCTTCCAAGTAATCGCATCAGTTACTTGTAACTGTGCACGTGAAACTGACGGGACAGTTTGTCGTGGTAAAGTCCCTTGCTTGGCTCTGGTTTACACAGCATATGTCCTATCAACAGCACGCACCCAACCTGTGCTACAGGAATGTCTTCCGCTCAACCATGACCGCAACTCCGATAGACGAGTAGTTAATTGGCAGACGACGCTGGAAACAACCCACGGTCAATATAATTGTTGTCTTCGTAAAAGCCTCGTCGGGAGACTGTTCGTAGTGAAGTGAGGGAGCGTTAGTACCGATCTACTTCGTTCCCGCAGCCGAGCCCGATCGTGGGTAGGATGGAAACTGTATCAGAGATATGGTAGATCCAGCTTACCCACCATGCTTATACAAGTTCAGCGAAAAATAAGCATTTCTGACTCACGATCGGGATCTGCAAGTGATGGAATCGAGTCATTCTGGGTGTAGACCGATGGTACTCCTACGCCGTCTTACCCACATTCCACTGACTGCGCCCTTCTAGATATCACCGAGAGAAGGAGTTATCTTGCTAAAATGGGGTCATAAGGTATCAGACGCGCGTGATTGGTGCCTCATTGGACAAGTAATTAGGTTCCGTTTTGGGGGCCAACTGCGGTGCAATGTCGTGGCGCGCTAAGCAGTGGTCCCAGCCCAACCTGGTGGGTCAGCTGTAAGCAATAAGATACTAAACACGACCCCAGGAGACTTCGATTTATTCCAAAAGGAGAAAGCTTATTGCGAGCCGTTCTAATTGGTGTTGTGTAGTAGCTGAGATAATTTTGTCATTCATCCATATAGATCAATATATAATTGCCAGTACCACCATGATTTCACACAGCCCAAATCCCCAAGAATTATTTATATATCTATATCACACCTCCAGTCAGCTTCCGCTAAGTCGTCCCATGCGATAATTTCACTCAGCCAGTGCTTTCTTCTTGCAGCAGAAACAAAAAAGATAAAATCTTGTTCCTATGGCTTCCGGCACTTTCTGTTCTTTCCCCAAGGTCATCATTGTCGGGGCTGGGTTTTCCGGACTGGCAATGGCATGTCAATTAAAACGAGAGTTGAAGTGCGATGACTTTGTTATTTATGACCGAGACGCAGGTTTTGGTGGGACGTGGCTCGCAAACAAATGTATTATTGATTATCCTCTCATCTTCTCCGGACGAACAACGCGCTCGCTGACCTGAGATTCTCAGATCCAGGATGTGGAGTTGATATTCCGGCCGCGTTCTACAGTCTCTCCTTTGCACCTAACCCAGACTTCTCAAACCTCTTTCCAAAGCGGGATGAGGTCCTACAATACATCAACAATGTGGTAATGGAGTACGACCTGTCCCGTCACCTGGTGGGAAATACGGAATGGATAGGGGCATCCTGGCAGGACAACGACAATACTTGGCTCGTTAGCCTGCGGAGCGTTACAACTGGCGAGGAGTATACACAACGTTGTAACATACTAATATCAGCGGTTGGGGCATTGACAAACCCTAATCCACTGAATGTTCCCGGCGTCGACCGCTTCCAGGGAGATATCATTCACACAGCCAGGTGGGATCAGAACGTGTCTCTGCGGGACAAGAATGTAATAGTGCTTGGAAATGGGGGTAAGCTCCATTTTGCATCAGCATGGAAGATCAATGATTGACACTGTTTAGCCTCAGCAACACAATTAGTACCAGCTGTGGCAGAAGATGTTCGGTCAATTACCCAATTTATGAGGGTAAGTTCGCTATCACGATGCTCTTGTAGGGTGAATTTCTGATATATAATCCTCGCATCCAGTCAAAACAATATTTTCTCCCAGGGGGAAATAATACCACTATCAGTCCAATTTGGCAGAATATCTTCCGCTACGTACCCGGTGTACTTCTTGTCGTCAGATTTTTGATCTTCCTATACCTCGAAACGTCCACCCCCCAATTCAACCTGACCAAGACCGGAGCGGAAATGCGAAGAGAAACCGCCGCAATAAGCGAGCGTTACGTCAAAGAAAATGCGCCAGGTGAGCCGAGTCCTGAATCCTATATGAGCTACTCTAACCTCAACTTGCAGAGAAGTACTGGCCACTCCTACTGGCCGACTATCAAGTCGGATGCAAGGTACGTACCTCCATCGACATTGACACAGCATCCAGGCTAACGAACTTCCAATGCAGCGACGGGTATTCGATCACGATGGCTACATTTCAACACTTAACCGTGATAATGTCCGCCTTACCGACGATGAAGTCATCGCTCTTAACGAACGATCAGTCTCAACAAAATCAGGAGCAACATACCCTGCCGATGTAATTGTATTAGCCAGCGGGTTCTCCCTGACCCAGTACGACACCGATCTGTGCGGTCGCCGTGGACGCAGTCGACAAGAATCCTGGAAAAGAGCCGGGTACATCAAAGCTTACGAGAGTATCGGCATGTCTGAGTTTCCTAACTTCTTCTACATTCTGGGTCCCAATTCCGGTCGCGGGCATACATCTGCAGTATTCTCCATTGAGAAGTAAGTGGTTCCTTCAAGCCAATGATTTGACCTATTACAAAGAGCTAATAACCTGCTAAACGTGAAACAGCTACACAGATCTCATTATCCGGGTTATCAAACCAATAATAGCCGGATCAGCTGTCTCAGTGGAACCTGATATGTCGAGCGAAAAGGCATACAACGAGAGGCTGCAGGCCGCGCTGAGAAACACAGTGTTTAACAACACATGCCGCAGTGTAAGGAACTCTGCCCCGTTAATTTAGCCAACTGATATTAGTCGCTGTTGATGATGCTACTCTCCCTTTTGGTGTTGGGAAATACAATTATCAGCTGACCATGACCTATGTAGTGGTTTATAGACCCCCAAACCGGATATAACTGGGTGATATACCCCTGGAGCTCCTTCTACATGTGGTGGACCACGCATGTTGCAGGCCTAGAAGGGTGGGTCTACGAGGTGAGTTTGGCGATCTTTCCGGAGTTAAGCATATGGGAGTCTGACTCAATGCATGCACAGTATCCGCAGATGAAAAAGATGCCACCGAGCCCGGCTTTCGCTCTCTTTTTGCGCACGGTATTACCAACCTTTGTTGTTTGTCTGTTTTGGGGGGCGTGGACTTATACCAAAGATTTATGCGGTTTGTTTGTGCTGTGAAATGACGAGCATTTAATGTAGGCACTTTGGGACCTGTTATAAACTTTGCTTTGGATGTAGGGTTAGACCTTTGTGAAGCGTTTAATGTTTGGGTTTTAGATTTAAATTCCCCGATGCCAACGTCGTCACTTAGTTATGATGAAAGCTAATATTCTACAAAAAAATGCTGAAAGTGCTGTACCATGACCTAAAAGCCATGTGCTACCCTGGACTGCTTCTCTCGAGGGAGTCCAAGCTTACGACCGGTGGTTGGGACTCCTCTCTCTGGAAGTACACACTGGGAGCTCAATGTGCTTGTCCAGTCCGTGCCTGGGTGGCACGTTCTCTGACCTAACGGCACGAGCAGGATGGACAGCTTGTCTGCTTGGCGCATCATCGTTGCCATCTTCTTCATCTTCATCATCATCATCTTCTTCTTCATGGTTACTGTCGGTGCTCTCATTTTCTGCGGCCATATACGCAGCACCTTCATCTTTTGATCCAGGATCTGTATGAACAATGAGATCGTCCGCATCAGCGGCGCCACTCAAAGCTTGCAGCCGGATCAAGTTCCACTGCATCTGTAGACTATCCATGGATGGGAGAGGATGAGTGTCCGGATTAGCTGTCTTGAACACGACTTGATGCCCCGAGGAGATTATGTGTTCTGTCTCACAATCCCATAACTTTGCATTCTTAGGGATTTGGCGGAGATTGTTCTCAATCGTAGGGGCCGGAAAGAGCGGCTGTTGCTGACTATATTCAGTTGAAGGTAGCCAATAAAACTGAACAATGAGCTCGAATGGTTTAAGGGCAAATCGTGCATCGCCCCACAGGCTGTGAACGTGTGCAGCTAAGGCCAACAGGTTATCCGCAGTTTCAGTCGTGTCGGGGCCAACCACACAGTCTCTCCAGGCCTTCACCTTTTCTTTATCCCAGTAATCTTCCAGGGTGAGCCAGAACCTTTTCAGTTCCTGACTGTCTTCTCTGCCACCTAAGGAGTAAGGATAGATATGGGCAGCAAAGGAATCCACGCTCTTGGAAAAAGTTTAACTCGTTGACCGTTCCTAAAGTCGTCGGATCAACCCCCGGGTCCAACTGCTCTCCAACGATTTCCTGATTTCCCTTCGCCTTATCGTCTGCTCCATGAAAACCAAACGCTCTTTCTTGCAACCGAGTCTATAGGTTTCGATGCAGTTATTGCACCTCTAACCGCGACCGCCAGAGATGCACACTGCGAATGTCCGCACACCTGATTGCGAGGGAGCTTACGTCCAACTTAAATCACGAGGAAAGCCTCGCAGAGCTGGGCATGCTTACCCAACTGGTGAAATGACCTGTATCCAATGAAAAACACAGACCGCAAGACCGGCTCTATTATCCAGCGGCGCTCGCGACCCGACAGGGACTACTGCTCTGTCTAGAAGAGGAGTCCTAGTAATACAGCCAGAGTACTCACGGACAGGCTAAGTGTAAGGACCCATATTCCTACAACCCTCGCGATAAGGGTTATCGCGAGGAATGCCCATACTGATATCAGTCCCGTCGCAAGGCTTGACTGCCTGCTTCAAGTAGATGTTCATTAAGAATGAGAGCATTATGCAACATCAACGGAGTATGACCAGAGTCTGGCTTCCCCAAGGCCCCCAAGATTTCATTTTAAAAGTTAGAGAGGAGAAAGAAGAAGCAAGTGGCAAAAGTAGGATGGAGGTGCTTATATACTGGATTGGGAGTGGTGAATCTTAAAGACTGCTGTTGAATGAAGGGCGGTGCAGAAGGTTGGAAATTCATCTCTGATATTCACCTCTGTGAGTAGGGCTTATTGATCAATTGCACTAAGCCGAATTCTTCATGGTTGGGCCTCATTCCTGTCCAAAGTATTCACAGCACACCGGGGAAGCCAAAGCACGCCGAAGCTAGGCTCTGGTCGCTAAGCAGACCTACAGTATGTTGCCTCTGGGAAACAAGAAATCGGATTTCTAATTGATACTGCACCAGCCACTCCCTAGTGCTTACGCTTCACTTAGAAAGCGAGTTGGCCCTGGCTCCCACGCTAATCCCGCCAGCCCGCACTTGGGAGACGTTCAGGGTTGCCCGAGTGGGGAATTGAGCGATGGCCGATGCGGAGATGGTCCGACCCGGCCAAACTTCCCCGGCCGGTTTTGTGCCATCGGCCCCTTGCGCGAACAATCGAAGATATGGTAGACAGGGAATGCGGAAAACTTATCGAAGTGAAATTATGACATTAAAGTAGGATTAGAGAATTAAAGATGGTAGTATCACTGATGCGGCACTCACTGGGCAACTTCTTCCCTTGTCGGCCCACCTTCCACGGCTCTCCACGGCTCTCCACGGCATCCCATTTGTTCCTGAGCCCGAACCCTAGCTTGAGCCAAGATGTAACCAATCTATGCCACTCCAGTCTACTAGTCAAGCTGTCTTCTTACCCCTCCTTTGCTGCAGATCAATACCCTCGCCGACCATTTGCCGTCCTCGAGGCGTTAGCTTAATTACTCTTGCCTTGAAATTGCCGATCCATTCTCTGCCTTTTCCCGCATAGCGTAAGACATAATTTACACTTTTTCTGTTGCCTGATCCCGGTTGCCGTGGTGCCATAAGATCGTCTTCTTTCCTCTTTCGTCACGGACGTATCCCCGTTCCACACTGCTGCTCCACTGACTAAGTATTTGCTTCGGTGTGTTACTGCTCAGCTTGCGCTCACCAGGCCGACTCCGATCTGAGCTACCTATTCATGATATATAGGCTTCGATGACCCCTTATTGAGCAGAAAATTCAATTCTTGCTTTCCCAGAGCAAAACGCGTTTTCCATTCTAGCTGTACGCCATGCGCCACAGCATCGGATGGGCAGCGGCCCTACTGGCACCAACCCTACCTGTAGCGTTGGGTCAATATATTCGAGACTTAAGCAGCGAGAAATGGACTCTCAGTAGTCGAGCCTTGAATCGGACAGTTACTGCTCAATTTCCATCGCAGGTTCACTTAGATCTACTAAGGGCTGGAGTGATTGGTGAGTACTATCTCGAAATCAAGTCTTGTGAATATACAACTGCTAACAGCCTTAATAGATGATCCGTAAGTGACTTCATCTGCCATGGATGAGAATGAATCGCACTAAATATTGCTGGAGATACCATGGTTTGAACGATTTCAATCTTCGCTGGATTGCCGCTGCCAACTGGACTTATACCAGTCAACCCATCAAAGGCCTGTGAGTCGCTGTGAAGTTTGTGCAATGTCGTTCGACAATACTAAGAACCAATAGCCTGGACAATTACGACTCAACTTGGCTCGTGTTTGACGGACTGGACACTTTCGCAACAATCTCATTCTGTGGACAGCAAATCGCATCCACGGACAATCAGTTTCGCCAGTATGCGTTCGATGTATCCACAGCACTAGGGTCCTGCAAAGGAGATCCTGTTCTGAGCATCAACTTTGGAAGCGCACCGAACATTGTTGATGCTATCGCACAGGACCCTAATTCGCAAAGTAAGTTTCAGAGGTGGGGGACTGCCGAAGTTGTTACATGCTAATTGTATATAGAATGGCCTGATGACGTCCAACTCACCTACGAGTACCCAAATCGGTGGTTTATGCGCAAAGAACAATCGGACTTCGGATGGGATTGGGGTCCAGCATTTGCCCCTGCAGGTCCATGGAAGCCTGCATATATTGTTCAGCTAGACAAGAAAGAAAGTGTCTATGTCCTGAACACGGATTTGGATATATACCGAAAGGGCCAAATTAACTACCTTCCGCCAGACCAGAGCCAACCTTGGGTCGTCAACGCTAGCATTGACATTTTGGGTCCACTACCTACCAAACCAACCATGTCGATTGAAGTGCGCGATACTCATTCTGGCACGATCCTTACTTCGCGGACTCTGAACAATGTCAGTGTGGCTGGTAATGCCATAACTGGTGTCACCGTTCTCGACGGGCTGACCCCGAAACTGTGGTGGCCGCAAGGCCTCGGTGATCAGAACCTCTACAATGTTTCTATCACTGTCCAAAGTAGAGGAAACCAGACCGTGGCCAGTGTGAACAAACGGACGGGCTTCCGCACCATTTTTCTCAACCAGCGCAACATTACTGAAGCACAGCGTGCGCAAGGAATCGCCCCTGGAGCAAACTGGCACTTTGAAGTCAACGGTCATGAGTTCTACGCAAAAGGATCGAACCTTATCCCACCAGACAGTTTCTGGACCCGTGTTACAGAAGAGAAGATGTCACGGCTATTCGATGCAGTGGTCGTTGGAAACCAGAATATGCTCCGTGTCTGGTCCTCCGGCGCGTACCTGCATGACTACATCTATGATCTGGCCGATGAAAAGGGCATTCTCTTATGGAGCGAGTTCGAGTTCAGTGACGCTTTATATCCCTCCGACGACGCTTTCCTCGAGAACGTTGCTGCTGAGATAGTATACAATGTTCGACGAGTGAACCACCATCCCTCCTTGGCTCTATGGGCTGGCGGAAATGAAATCGAATCCTTGATGCTCCCACGTGTCAAAGATGCAGCCCCATCTTCATATTCCTACTATGTGGGCGAGTATGAGAAGATGTACATTAGCCTATTCTTGCCTCTGGTCTACGAGAACACGCGTTCCATCTCATACTCCCCTAGCAGCACAACCGAAGGCTACCTGTACATTGACCTTTCTGCCCCTGTCCCAATGGCTGAACGTTACGACAACACTACCTCCGGCTCATACTACGGCGATACAGACCACTACGACTACGACACTAGCGTGGCGTTTGACTACGGTTCCTATCCGGTAGGCCGCTTTGCCAACGAATTCGGCTTCCACAGCATGCCCAGCCTCCAGACATGGCAACAAGCTGTTGACACTGAGGATCTTTACTTCAACAGCAGCGTCGTCATGCTGCGCAACCACCACGATCCCGCAGGTGGTCTCATGACGGACAACTACGCGAACTCGGCCACTGGCATGGGCGAAATGACTATGGGCGTGGTAAGCTACTATCCGATACCGAGTAAATCCGACCACATCTCCAACTTCAGCGCCTGGTGCCATGCCACCCAGCTCTTTCAGGCAGACATGTACAAAAGTCAGATCCAGTTCTACCGTCGTGGAAGTGGCATGCCCGAGCGCCAGCTTGGCTCCTTGTATTGGCAGCTCGAAGATATCTGGCAAGCGCCATCATGGGCAGGCATTGAGTACGGTGGTAGATGGAAGGTCCTTCACCACGTTATGAGAGATATCTATCAGCCTGTTATTGTTTCACCTTTTTGGAACTATACTACAGGCTCGTTGGATGTCTATGTTACTTCCGATCTGTGGAGCCCTGCAGCAGGTACTGTCGACTTGACCTGGTTGGACCTGTCCGGCCGCCCTATTGCGGGTAACGCGGGCACGCCCAAATCTGTTCCTTTTACCGTGGGAGGGCTCAACAGCACTCGCATCTATGGCACGAATGTATCTTCTTTAGTATTGCCGGATACTAAAGATGCTGTTCTGATCCTCTCGCTCTCGGCTCACGGCCGTCTTCCGAATTCAGACCGGACCACCAACTTGACTCATGAGAATTACGCTACGCTTTCTTGGCCCAAGGATTTGAAGATTGTTGACCCGGGACTTAAGCTAGGACACAGCTCGAAGAAGACAACCGTTACGGTGGAAGCTACATCCGGTGTTTCATTGTACACCTGGCTCGACTACCCAGAGGGTGTGGTGGGATACTTTGAAGAGAATGCCTTCGTCTTAGCACCAGGCGAGAAGAAAGAGATTGGTTTTACTGTTCTAGAGGACACTACTGACGGGGCTTGGGTCCGTAACATCACCGTCCAGAGTCTCTGGGACCAAAAGGTTCGCGGTTGATCATCAATAGCATTCACAAAGCCACAATAGCAAGCATGTACATGTCATTTCACCACTTATATCGAACACTTCCCATCCACAATACACACCATATTCCTAACATGGGGAAGATAATCCATTCTATATCATGCTAATATCATTAATGTGGTCGAACAGCAGAGCTCGTAGGTTGACACTTGGTTTAGCGTGCTTCGGCTTCGTCGGTATGCATGCGGTGGATCTCTCGTACAAGAACGAAGCCATAGCATTAATATCAGAGAGAGTGCCATGTGCCCACAGGCGTGGGAAGCATCCCGGTGAAACGGCAATGCGTTCTTCCAGAGAAAGAAAGTTGAATCAATAGTCAGTTATCGTTGCCATTAGTTCCGATGACCTGTGACAGGGATAGAGGCCAGTGGCTTATGCTTCACTGGCCTATGCTTCGTGGTTAAATCAAATCATTCTTAAATGTGAAGACTAATGCTTTGGTTTCGAGGGTGATTCTACACTTATGCTTTGGCTTCCTGTTGACCGCAATCGACCTAATTTTGAGCTTATTCCATACTAATAGTTACTTACACTGTAGAACAGCAAAAACCGTACTATTTCAATTAGATTCAACATCTATTATTAATTTGACTCGACCCGATTCCACTATTGAAGAGGCTAGTTATGCAGTTATCGCGCCGTTCGTGCAAGAATACAGTCCTGGGCATCATCTAATACGTATAATCTCCAGGCATATATGCATTTATCGAACCAAAAGGCATAATTGTAGGAAATGCCAACAACGCAACAAGGTAAATAGGCCCTGGACATGAGATAATTCAAACAGGTGTCGCAACTGATATGCCAGTTACCTTGAGCTTACAATCTCTGTCGTTGCTCCCAGTCACTTATCAATTGCTGCTACCTGGAGTGTCCTGCAGGTTTGATTTGCATGACCTTTCCAATGGTTCGAATGTAGTGTAGTCAGGGTACTTACGCGTTGTCTTCAGCGTCTCTCCTTACGGCCTGTAGGCCTACCTATCCCTGTTATAGGTCGGGGGCAATGATGGAGTTAATCTAGATAAACTCCCCGCCAGCACGTATGCAACATCAACGAGTAGTATTGTTATAATTCACGGTCAACTATGCGAGAATTAGGGGAACTTCTTTGCGCGAGATCCGAACATACGCGGGGGAGCCCTCAACTTACAACTTGAGAGGCGTGCGTTTTGAAGTAGGTGCCTATGCGGTCGGCTTCGATAATATATCAATATATCAGTACTCTGCGTGTTTGTCCTATACATTCCGTTTACTTGTTGCACAGTTTGCTTCGTACACATTAACATATTCTCAAGGGCTTTCCCGAATGATTTGTAATAAACACTTGCATATCGTCGGGCCCGAGTTATTTGCTCTATACATTGAAAAGACCATAGCCCTGGAGATAAGGCAACATGCCTAATGCTCTAAATCCCAACAATCCACCCTGAGGGAGATCGTATCCGTTGATAATCTGAAGTGATACAGAGTTGGATAGGAATGATACCATAACTTAATTAGTGGTCTGGGAGTAAAAATAATAAAGTCGATACATCGGAATAAATCTTTCGGCTATTTCGTCGGGCACTTACATATGACAACTGTACGCCAGTTGTTCTTTCTAGCCTTATCCAACCCTTGTTTCAACCCAACGAATCTGAAGACAATAGCGAATCATTAACTGTTCCCGCAACATCTTCGAGTTCAATTGCTGATTATCAGCAGGATACTTATATCTTGACGGGTTTAGTAGTATAATCGCCCAAATTACTTCCCATCAATCGTCAAAAACGGTTATCTCATGTTGACATTCACATCACAGTAGAAACCCAATTTTCCTGCTCGTCAACAGCTCGGCTATCGTTATGCGCTTGATCAATGTTAATACGCTCAAACTGGAGGAATTTTATGGAGATGTGCCCCGTTATGCTATACTCTCACATACATGGGGAGCTGATCATGAGGAATTGTCATTTCGCGACATCACTGAAAATACTATCAAAAGAGAGAGTCTACCATTCAAAATTGCAAAATGCTGCGAGCAGGCAGAGAAGGATGGCCTTCAGTATGCATGGGTTGACACCTGCTGCATTGACAAGACCAACTCAGTCGAACTCGGCGCAGCCATTAACTCCATGTTTCGATGGTACCATAAAGCCGCCGTTTGCTATGCCTACCTGGTTGATGTCACCGTTGGGCATAATAACCGTTTTCCACGGACTCAGTTCGGCTCATGCCGTTGATTCCAAAGAGGCTGGACCCTACAGGAGCTCCTGGCTCCTGATAATCTGCGCTTTTTCGATTCGAAGTGGCATGACCTCGGAACAAAGGCAAATAGATCGAATATCATTGACCAAAAAATGGGGATACCGCGCCGGTTCTTGCAAGGAACAGCGTTGAGCGAGGCAAGCGTCGCTCAGCGTATGTCATGGGCCTCTAGAAGAGAAACAAAACGAGAGGAAGACATTGCTTACTGTCTTCTCGGAATCTTCGATGTGACTATGCCGATGATCTATGGTGAGGGGGCCGATAGGGCGTTTACTCGTCTCCAGCGAGAGATCATGAGAAACTCGAGGGATGAGTCAATCCTGGCATGGGGTATTTCCAGTCCGGAGCATTATCTCTCTAATTCTGAAAATAAGAGCTTATCAGCCGGTGTACTTGCCGCATCACCCGCCAACTTTGAAGGTTGTCAGGATATTGTTTCGCGTGGGAACCAGATCGGGTCACCATGCACATTCCAGATTGAAGGGGGCTTCGTTAGAGTCAATATATCCCTACTTCAAGACGAAAATGGGCTTTTCGGCTTGCTCAATTGCGGTCTGCCAAATCCGAAAACGGTGGTAGCCATCCCGCTTTCAAAAAGCCAATCTGATGGATACCTTAGGCCACAAGATCATTGTGCAGTGATTTATGACTCAATTGCGACCAAGACATCAGCCCAGCCTGTCTATATTCTGACCGAACGACATATTGAAAGACCTCCGACGGCCAGCTATAACAACTACTTCTTCGTCGAGGACCCAATCGAAATGGGATTGGAACTTATTGAAGTTGAACCACCAGATCGCTGGTTGAAAGACCGGTCTATCATAACGACATCGAATGACCATGCTGTACAAAAGCTCTGGGCCCGTTTCCGTTCCCACGGTAAAGACCCCAGTGACTTTCTGGTATTGCTCGAGTATAGTTCGCAGAACTCACAAGCGCAGGCTCGACGTCACATGATGATATCTTCCAGAGCCACGTCCCTCCAAGATCTGGCCCAGGGATCCGGCTCTATAAGACAGGGAGCATTCGATAAACAATGTGCCAGTGACGGCATGCTCAGTGTCCGGGCCAGCGTAGAACGAGACAGCATGCAGGAGATATTTGTGGTGAAATTGGCCGCCATAGCGAGTCCACCCAGTGTCACAATTGATGCCACATTTGAGTTAGTCAAGCTTGAAGTGGAGAGCATCATGAAGGAGGAAGATTATTTGCGCCGTGAAAAGCACAACCTCGAGCAGCATGTAATAGAGACGGCTTCCTCCTTAAGATCTGCCAGGGCAGACTTGACTGAGGTAGAGGAGGAAATCGAAAATCTCAATGGGCTGAAATCCCGGCTACTGGACATACGCGGCAGAGCGTCACAAGATATGGTTCAGACCGGTACCAGAGCAGAGAAGGTTAGACAACAAGGAGCCATGTTGTCTGAATGCGAACGGTCACTTGAAAGGGAATTAGACGGTCGGCAACAGGCAGTCTTGGAATTTGGGTATGGTCTACTTCTTCATAGGCCTGGAAGCAGACCTGCCAACACAGGCAATTCCTCGTCAAATGAACTTGTTTGGGCCCGGGGTGATAACGAATCAGTGCTTTCTAACCCTGAAGTGGTAGAAGTTGAGGCCGAGTTGACGGGATTGGTGGAAACTGAGGTTGATTTGGTGAAACATATCGATACTATGTTGAAGCGGGATCCATTACTTCGCGGATTTTTCAGTGACAAAAAGAACAAGGGATTCCTGGTGTACCTATGGAGGAAGGCCGAGGATATGTATTCTGGCCACGGGTTGGAGGCCCACTACGAAAAGCCTATGGCCCAGACACTCAAGGCATCCATGTACCAGCAAGTCTTCTACTGCGGTAAGTTATGCCAAACTCGATCACCTATTTTGCATGCTCAACTTTGATGGCTATTTGTAGATGATAGCGAAGCAATGGGACACGAAGATCGTTGGAATGTCCAGACAAAACTCGTCAAACAATTGATCAAGGTTACCAGTCAACTGCTCCCTGCGGGCAAAGGGGTTGGGCTGCGTTTCATTAACCGTGAAGTTGATGAATCCCCTAACCTCACAGTTGATCGCGTGAATAACATCTTGAATTCCATGCCATTGAGGCTCGGTGGCAACACTGCGGTTGGGACAAGCCTAACATCTAAAATTCTCGAGCCGCTAGTCTACAGCAAAGCCAAGTTGCAGATACTTGATAGGCCGCTACTCATCATGACGACGATTGGTGGTTGTCCGGAGACTGAAGCTGAGTCTGAGATTGTGGACGCTATCATCGAATGTGGCAGAATGCTAGAAATCGCCGGATACCCCCGCCGCAGTGAGTAACGTTATGCACACCTTCTCTTCCCCACCTAGCTGATTGACCAACCTGAAGCTGTGATATTTATGATCTATCAAATTGGCACAAGCCAAACAACCTCAAACTTTGTACGACGTCTTAAAAACAATCCGGATCTTTCTCCGGTGACATCCGTATTCTCAGAGTGGGAAGGTGGTGTCATATTAAAACATCTCAGAAGCAAGTATTTTCAAGAATCTAGCTTCGAAGTGAGTCTGGTCTTCCAATATCCATTCCTGACTTCTCTGCCTGCTTGGCTGATACTGACGGATCCTTGCTTCAGAGGAGAATGTACCCTTCTGATTTCCTCCAAAAGTCTGGGATCATGTTACCTTAGCTGGCTACGAGAGTACAATACCGGTGTTGTTCATCCTGTCTGTCACCTGATGTCCATCATGGAAAGCAGTTACCAATTTGGATCGTCAGTCAAAGGAGCCAATCCACATTGGTGCTTGCAAGTGGCATGTACAGTATGACATATAGTATACGACATTGGTGTCTTTGTTGGATATTGTGAAAGCCGTGAAATCTTCTCTATGTAAGTAGGGCCAGATCGATTACCGTGTTAAGTATAGAGCCACCACTTGTTCCTTGTATCATGCATTATGTGGGATTGGAGGCATAGTTGTCTGCTTGGGTAAATGCTACTTGGGTTGATTATCTGAAGGGCCGTGGGCGAGTATTCTCGTAGAACAACGAGATTGGCGTCTCACCGCGCTATGTGATATTGACAGAATACATCTCTGGATGTTGCATTTGAGGCCTTTCTCAGTTAATTCCAAATATGACATTTTCATTGATTGGGCTCAGTCGTGGTCAGCATGAGACTTGAAAAGGGCAAATGTGATAAGTGTAAACTTCAAGTATACTAGAAGACTAATGGATGGAGCGATTTACCCAATAAGCGTAGCAACATTGAGCCCTATACCAATAACAGAGGATATTACTAGAGTTGATAGGGTTAGACGGGAAATCATCATATGCAGCTCTGATATTGATATGGTGAAAGTATCGACAGGAAAGGTTAATGGCCAGCGCCAAGCATGTGGACGGTCTAGCTGCATGAACGGCCGCCTGGTCCTGAAGCCCCTGGCATCTTTGACCTCCGCCATCAACTACAACTAAAAGAGATTTTTCAGCTTCAACCACATACTTGCTCACAAGTTGTGTCTATTAACCGTGCAACCTTTTTCATATCCTCACGTCATTTACCTTTGCGTCATAGACTTCTACCTAGTTCGTCTAATCCGGTCAAATGCAGATCAAGTTCCACCATCGCGTCTGCAAACACAACCATTCAACGCGTATTTCCTACGTCAGGGTTCGAGACCATTGATCCGGCAGAGGCTATTGAGGAAGAGACCTTGCCAACCTACAATGCAGAGAAATACTACCCCGTTCGCCTCGGGGAAGTTCTGGACGGCCGATATCAAGTCGTTGCCAAATTGGGCTATGGTGTCACATCTACAGTCTGGCTTGGTCGCGATCTAAGGTAAGATCATTTTCACTTTAGTCGACACTCCCTCGTTCTATCACCTACAGTCCATATACTCTTAGCCACTTGAGCCCGCTATGTAATCACGTTTGGGGCTCCTATGCTGAAGGTGTAACTTCAGTGATTCCAAGCATGTCGCCTTGAAGATTTATGTTTCCGGCACTACGGACAAGAACCACGAACTTGACGTGTATGAACGCATGAATGCAATCAAAACAGATCATGCGGGACAAGCTCTCATTCGGAAATTATGGGATCATTTCTTCCTAGAAGGTTCCCATGGCCGTCACATATGTCTCGTACATCAACCACTTGGCCTTAGTGTTGATCAGTTTCTATATTTCTTTCCTGGGAGGGTGATGAGCCTTGACGCCTTGAAGCCCTGCATTGCGACAGGTATTAGGTGTAGTCGATTTCCTACATACCGAAGCGCAAGTCATACATACTGGTATGATTCCGAGCAATCCTTACCATCCCTTTTGGCTGACAGGCCGAAGATTTACAATTATTGAATCTGCTTCTCCCAGGTGATCCAAAGAATTTCTCGGGTCTTGAGGATTCCGAGATTGAGGAACCCTCACCTAGAAAGGTACTTGGTCCCGAGCGCACAATCTACACCAGCCATATAGTTGTCCCCAGAAATGGATTGCCATTGCCCAGTGACTTCGGAGAAGCCCGCTTCAGCGAGGAAGAGCATGACGAGGATATCATGCCAAATCTTTACAGGGCTCCTGAGGTGGTGCTAAAGATGAAATGGGATAACAAGGTGGATGTATGGAGCAGTGCCCTGATGGTAAGAGATGGTGCTTGTCGAGTCCATTCTTCATTCATCCCATATTTACCTTCATGTAGGCCTGGGATATGGTCTGCTCTCAAACGCTATTCGATGGCAGAAACAGTGATGATGTTTTTGATGATCGAGTCCATCTTGCTGAGATGGTTGCAATTATGGGACCACCTCCCACCGAGTTCATCAAACGAAGCAAGATAGGCTCGGTATTCTGGGATGAGGATGGTAAGTTACCAATTGAACCAGCTGCATGACATGAAGCTCAGCTAAAATATAAGTTTAGGGGAATGGAAGGAGCTTGCGCCAGTGCCGAACATGACACTTGAGGAAAGGGCGGCTAATATCCAGGGACCCGACAAGGAAGAATCCTTAAAGCTTATGCGAAGAGCATTAACATGGGACCCCGAGGACAGACCTGCAGCGGGAGAATTGATCTTTGATGAGTGGCTTATGAAGGGATTGCAGCTTCCCGCTCATCTGTCGAAGAATACCTACTTGTGATTAAACTCCTCTAGTAAATCAATTGTAAAGCGTTGAATTGGCCGAATCGTATGGCAAATATGAATGCAAGATATATTTTATCGTGCACAAAAAATGATCATTCCATACTCTATACGTGAGAGCGTAGTAGATGCTCGACGATAACTGAAAGTGGAGCCGGCGGGAAGAGTTGGGGAGAAAAAGACCGGGCGGGTGCCTGAGGATCCCGGATCCAGAACGGATTCCGCTTCTGGGATTCTCGTTCTTCTTTCCGCCGACCAACCGTTCATCCATCCTCACCTCAGTCCAGCCATCATGTCGTCCCGCACCGTCTGGAGGAGTCTCCAATTGCAAGCCCGGAGACGTTTCACCGTCCCGGAGACACCATACCGCTGCTTCTCCTGCACGCGACGTGCCCAGGAGTCGCCCAAGTCCAACCAGGACGATCGCATGACCCATTTCGGCTTCCAAAATGTTCCCGAAGCACAGAAGGAGTCTTTGGGTAGGTTCATCGGAGATATTCTGCTTCTGCACTTAGATGATTGAAGAAAGAAACGATTTACTAAGACTTGTGCCAATTTCTAGTGGGGGCCGTGTTCAGCTCCGTTGCCTCGTCCTACGATGTGATGAACGACATGATGTCGCTGGGCATCCACCGCCTGTGGAAGGATCACTTTGTCCGCTCTCTCAACCCCGGATCCGCACTTCCCTCTCGCGAACACGATACGGCAGGACGTGGTTGGAACATTCTCGATATCGCCGGCGGGACGGGCGATATCGCGTTTCGCATGCTGGACCACGCGACGAACATCAACAATGACCACGAAACCCGCGTAACGATCGCCGATATCAACCCGGACATGCTGGCGGAGGGCCAGAAGCGCAGCGTGCAGACGCCTTACTACAACACAAACCGACTGTCGTTCATGCAGGGCAATGCGCAGTCCATGCCTTCCATCCCGGACAACTCGGTGGACCTCTACACTGTGGTGTTTGGTATCCGCAACTTCACGGATAAGCAGGCAGCATTGAACGAAGCGTTCCGTGTGCTGAAGCCTGGTGGTGTGTTCGCCTGCATGGAATTCAGCAAGGTCGACAACGCCCTGTTCAATGCGGTCTACAAGCAGTGGAGTTTCAGCGCCATTCCCATGATTGGTCAGTTGGTGGCGGGTGATCGGGACAGCTACCAGTACTTGGTCGAGAGTATCGAGCAGTTCCCTAGCCAGGAGGAGTTCCGCGGCATGATCCAGAAGGCTGGCTTCATGATCCCGGGACGTGGTTTCGAGAATCTGACGGGTGGAATTGCCGCTATTCACAAGGGTATCAAGCCGCTTTCCCGGGCTTAAGAGGGGCAACTAAAAGGGATGGATGGATTGTTTCAGACAGTGTACACTAGCATATCTTTTTCGCCACTGTAATAATATTGACAGTCAGTTATTGACATGGAAGGCAGTTGAGCCAGTCCGGAACGGCAGCGGGGAATGGATCTGCAAGACATCAGCAGCGTTGCGGATGGTGTGATGGCGGATTCCGAATGGCCGGGCGGAGGCAGACTAAGTAGGGGTTAGAACTTAGAAGAGCGTAGAAGGATGCATGCGTCGGGATCTAGAAGGTGGTGCAAAATGAAGAACAGATTTTAATTTCTAATCGTTCGGGGAGGTGGTCAGCTCTGACACGCGGATTGGAGAAGACATCCGATCCGAGGCAACCTTTCTTTATCTCTGAGGCAGTCTAGATAATCCCTATCACCAAAATCAGCCACCCGGGCTTTCCCCTTCCCTCTTCTTTCCCCTCCACTTTTTTTGTTCTGTTTCGCCCCCCCACCATCGGATTTCTCCTCCTTTCCCCCTCCTCACTGCGTCTCCAGGTTCGCGTCCGGGATCTTTCTTCCCAGGCTACCTCCTGGGAGAAAGGCGCCTTCTTACTCTCTTCCCTCTCCCTCTTTCCCCCCACAGAATGGTTTCGTGACCATGGGGCACCTGAAGCAGCCATTCGCGATCCCGCTGTCGCCCGCAATGCCCCTCTCGGAGTCCAACCCCTCCATCCACGATGATTTCCTCCTTCCGATGACTCCTCCAGATCCCTCCGAGGTCCCACTAATGGGAACCAAGGACACTGCGCCCGTGACTTCAGCCCTGCAGGTTATCGCGGCGGAGCGCGCCGCTCTGGCGCATTTGGAGCATATCTACCAGACCGATCCGCTGGCACAAGATAACCTCGCGCGCGCGGTGGCTCAGATTGTGCGCACCATCAAGTATGGCGGGAAATTGGTCTGCTGTGGTGTTGGCAAGAGTGGTAAGATTGCTCAGAAGCTTGAAGCCACCATGAATAGTATGGGGATCTACAGTGCTTTTCTGCACCCCACGGAAGCCTTGCACGGCGACCTGGGCATGATACGACCGGTAAGGCTGTCCTGACCTCAAGTCAAGGGAGAACCGCTTGCTGACTGAATTTGAATGCACCAGCATGATACGCTATTGTTAATATCTTTCTCGGGCCGCACACCCGAGCTTCTGCTCATGCTTCCTCATATCCCTTCAACTGTCACGGTCATCGCTATCACTTCCCATATGGTCTCGTCGACTTGTCCTCTGCTTTCATTCCACCCGTCAAACATGGGGATCCTCTTACCGGCACCGATCCACGAGGATGAAGAGACCTCGATCGGAGTCTGTGCCCCGACTTCGTCCACCACGGTAGCCTTATCGCTGGGAGATGCACTGGCTATCGCTACGGCTCGGCGACTACATACAGCTCCTGGCAGAGGCCCGGCGGAGATCTTCAAGGGCTTCCATCCTGGCGGGGCCATCGGCGCTGCGTCCATGGCTTTGACGCCTATGAGCATGTCATCTGCGTCAAGTTCTGCCGCCCCATCAGACTATATTCCTGCTCAACAGACTGCGACCTCCTTCCCGCAGTCAGACGACAAGCCTAATCAGCGTTCTCTCGTCCGTGATATGCTCGTGTCACTCGATCAAATTCCCAGGGTGTCTACTTCGGGTAAAGTCCGTCTTCTAGACATTCTCCTCACTGCTATCCAGCACCCCAACGCCAAGTCATGGGTCCGTCTCTCACCATCCGAAATCGTGCCCCCACGGCATCTCCGCTTCGTCTCCCAGAGCAACTATGTAGATATGCACGTTTCCGCCTTCACTGAGCTGGGTCTACCTTTCGGTGTCTCCCGCAAGGATTGGTTCCGCCTCGCGAGCTCGAGCACCATCGACGACGCGCGACGGCTGGTTTCTGAGGCTGGTGCATCCTCAGGCACCCCCGTGACAGTGGTGGCCGTCATGGACGAGACCAACCCTGACCATTGTGTTGGTGTCATAGAAGCTGAGGATCTATGGAATGATTGTGATGACTAAAATATATCTATATCCCCTCCCCACTCTGATCCTGATGATGTATATGAACTCATGCCTGATTTTCGTGTTCTTTTTGCCTTCCTGTCTTATATTTCCTCCTTTTCAACCACAATAGATAGCTTTGATTTGGGACATGTATCCCAAACTTGGAGATGGTTTGTCTGCATGAGTGGGGTATGTCGGTGTGCCGCAACCTCATGATGTTTATCAACTTTTCGGGTTCTTATATCTTTCACATACATATTACTATCCTCGTGGGGACCTTTTTGATGTCCATACCCACCTTCATACATACAAAACTCTTGCGTCTTTTTTTGATGACGTATAGAAGAGACTTACTCTCATCACTACTTATACTAGATACCCGATCTCTCTGATCATGACCGCAGAAAAGAAATCTAATAACTTGTTTGTTTGTCCGATTTCAAGTCTAATTCTACCATCATCTTTGTAGGTGACCATCTAACGTATCGGTACAGAAATTCTCAACTGAGCCAGAAACAAAATAAACAGGGTATAAACATCATCGCGGGGACATGATAGCAGCACACAAAGGCAGGCCGGAAGGACGGAGGCAGAATATTAATCTATGGTATCTTCAACGCATTACTCGTAACACAGCGGAACGCCTGATCTGATCAAAGGACATAGCATCGAAACATGACCCGAGTTCTTTTTTAGAAAACCGAAACCCACCATTATAGGTGGTTAGCAAGGAAGGGGTTAAAGCTGTTGGTTCATGTCCCGTTTCACTATTGAAGTCCGTGCCCGGTCGGAGTCAAGGGGCGCGGATGTCACGGAAGTGGTATATCAAGCACATCTTGAGAAAGCAGGGCAAAAAAATTGACGAATGGAGAGACAGAAGAGATCAACGTTACAACGGGGATTGATGATGACTCTGGCACCAGGCCGAGATATCCCGCGCGGTTTTTGAACTAGGTATCTCAATGGGTTCATGAGATGACCAGGGCTGGCTCTGTTACAAATGATGCCCGTATGTTATCTCTCTCTCTCTTCTGCCTGTGCTCGAATCTTCCTGTGGCGGTGAAAGCGGGACGACTCGGAGGGTTCGTTTCAAGACGTAGTGAAATCACCAAATGGCGATTCACCCCGAAGATCCGGGTTCTTGTCGGCCTTTGCCCTTGTCGGTTGATGCCGTGCTATCGTCCTTGTATAGATTGTGTTGTTCGATGTAATGGATCACGGGGACGGGAATCAGGTATCGTACACTCATGTCACGTCTCAGGAATAGACGGATCTTGGTGCTGCTGACGTCATTTTGGATAAGTTGTTGAATGACATGGATGTTTTTCTTCCATGTTTGCAGGGCAGCGAGAGCTTCGTCAATGTCGGTTCCGGTGCGTTCCACAATGAAAGTCTGCAAGGTGAATTAGCGGCAACCTCAGAAACTGGGAGGATAATCTGTAGACAACATACGCCGTATTTTCCAAGAATGTGGTCGAGATCCTTTTCGCTCCATACCCCAGGAGTTGACATGGTATGCACCAGATCAGCGCCTGCCAGCAGAGCAATCTGGATGGGCTTGCGAGTACCATTGCCGGCCTCGATGCCCTGTCGTACAGTGTTGATCTCATGATCAAAATGGTCCAACACCACGGCTGTCGGCTGGTACTCCTTCTGCATCGGTTCCCACGTATCAACCATCAGCCAGTCGGAGGTCTGATCCACGGCGAGTTGGCACATAGCGACACTATTAGAATCATTGCAGTTAGCGCATGAATGGAGACGGATGGTGCGGAATGGCGGGGTTGTAGAAGGGCAGGGTGGAACACAAGAGCCTTACCGATGCTCAGCGCTAGCCAGACCGGCCTTACGATAGGCGTCTGACACCGGGGACAGGTAACCCCCGACCAGTTCAAAGTCCGTGCTGAATTTGACGTAATCGGCGGCCATTTCGAACATGCGCAGGTGCAAGTAGGTGATGGGCGAGAAGGAGCCACAGGCCACCAGAAGAAGAGGGGTCTTTTCGGGGTCGTCCATTGTGCGCTTCAGACGAAGCTCAGGGAAGGCGTAGTCATCCATCGGAGCCGGAGGCAAAGGCGAGGATCGCCGGTGGACATCGTCACTGATTGTGTCGGTCATGGTTGCAGATGAGAGGCAGAATGGTGTCCCAGGATGGTGGGAGAGGCTGGGAGGGACCAAATCTGGCCCAAAATAGATGAAAAATTGGTTGGAAGATTAAGACGGAGACAGACGGAAGAGAGTTCGGGAGGGATGGAATGGTAAGAGAGATGATATGGACGATGAATGAGATTTGAGTTCGCCGGTAAAAGGATGGGATGCGGGCGCAGGGGGGTTAGTCAGCGTGGGGGAAATGCAAGAGGCGGGCGGGGAAGAAAAAACGACCAAGACGGATGTTCGGTGTGCCTCGGGCGCGATCACATCATCATCAACCGTATCGAGCATTTACCACCGAGCCCCATTTATAGTATGGCCTTGCGCAGGCAATCATGGCGTGCCTAGCAGGTTGTCAATCTCCCACCTAATTAGCTATGCTTGAGTGTTTTTGACTCAATGAGAATGACATCCCCGTCTCAGAGAATCTCCCAAAGTGGTCTATGTCCGTCGCATACCCACATAGCCGGTAGCCGGCTATCTATCTCTCCATCGATCGGGCCCAGCACAGCAGCCCTGTGAGGGGGTAACTTGGTGCCTGTCATCCATCCTATTCCATTCTTTACCCCCTCAAGGCCGGTCTAAAAAGTATCCCTTGAATTAATCCCCCCACAGGATTTCTCTCTTCCAAGCCAGTCAACTCCTGTCCACACTTCCCATAACAGTTATTTGCAGGCATCCTCCAATTGAGGACTGGTGTGAGTCACCATCCCCATGGCGACGTCCACTCACTCCGCATGGTTCGGGAAGAACTGCTTCGCCTATCGACTCCATAGTCCATACACGGGCAGAATTACCCTGTCTTGCCGCAAGATTTTCCCAAAAGAATTTAGGTCGTTAAGGTGGAGACCAGCCCGACGCTATAGCCGTTACGGTGCTATCTATTGCTCCATTAGGCATAAGTATCATCTCCTCAACTCTTGCATGCATCGCTGAATTAACCGTGGGTTAACGGGAATTAAAGCTGTTCACACATCCGACCGGGTAATGAATCCGAGGCACGCACGCGATAAGATTCATTGAAAACCCCGCGCAGATGCAGTCATCTGCAGTTCTGCACTGAGTGGAATGTCACAGATGTGGTGCTCTGATATGAAAAATGCAGATTAGGGCAGTATGGTGCGACACCAAGGTACTTACAGAGTAGATTTGCCGGCTTTCTGCATCAGATAAGAGAAGGTACGAAGCCAAGTGGTTTGTTTGCTTACCTTCACACAAAGTGCTATATGGGTATAACTACTGTGATGATCACTGCCCCTCAGGTAGCCAATCGTCACTTATAAATAGTATCAAGGAGTATCAGCAAGGGGCCTGTCACGCTACCCATCTACAGTATGAGTTTCATGTGATTGTAGTGATAGTTGGTAATGCTGAACCTAGACTTGGGATGACACCTTGATGGTAACCTCTTAAGATCCGTGGATTGCAACATTACTTATTACTACTAGTAGTAGATAGCCAAAAGCGGGATATGCATTTGCCCGTTCAAGCCGGACAACATGCTACATCAACTACAGACTTTCATAAATGATACTGAGGAAACAGGTATATTTAGCAAACTTCTGGTAGATCACTGTGGTAGTTACTAGTCTAGACAGCTATTTAAGCCCTTTAGTCCTTGGCTACTGTGATGGAAATCTCTCCAAACCGGTCATGCTATTAATCAGCCTCTACTGCAGATAGTTAACTACTAGACACAAGGGTACAGGAAGAGGTCAGACCCCGTTGACCGCAATGGTCTAGGTAAACCAATTAGATTAATTCTCCAGATGAATAAGCGGTTCATTCCGCATCAGAAAATCAAGATTATTGAGATTGTATATCCAGGAAAATGCCGTAACTTCGCATGGGAGAATCTCGGGATCTCGCTCTGTGGTGGTGGTTGAGGCTGCACTTTAGCTGTCTGACGCCTTCCGGACTGGCTTCCTCAGGCCGGCGTCACTCACCACCGCCAACCACGTCAATCATCTTCCCCCCCAAACTCCGTCCTTCACCATCACCTCATCCACCACACTTCATTCCACCCCGATTCACGTTTCTCTGTTCTCGACCACGACTCTTACGATCATCTGCGCTTTCTGGTATATATTATTAATTGACTACGCCTTCGTTACCAGTGAACACCTTTGTTCTCTCAAGTAGCGCCCCCTTCACGTCCCCGATCGGCCGTCCCTCAGCTACACCCTCCCCCGGATCGTCGACGGAACCCAATTCGCCTTTCTGCCCACGCTTGGTCAACATTCCCTAGGGTAACGGATGGCGGGTTAACGGCGACAAGTGACGAGCGAGCCCTCCTTATCTAGCTCTCGTTAGCAATCGACATATGGCCAGACAAAGGCCCAGTGCTCACCGCCAGGACCCTCTTGAGGACTCTTCCACTCAGCCAACCTCTGCTGGACCTTCCGCCACTGCCGCTAGGTACATACTTGATCTCTTTGCCCTTCACTCTTTGGCCCTGTGCCCTGTGGCCTGATACCTGGACTCCTTCCCCTCTTTCGTGGTATCCCCGCAAGTACCCGTTCCCTACAGACCTGTCCAACTGTCTTGGTGGATGGAGAGCTCTGCCCACCAGCTGCGTACTCGGCGGGAACCATCACCGTCATAATACTTTGCTATCTGGGTCGGGTGGGGATTCTCCCCTCACACTACAAGCTGTTGTTTTGTTGTCATCTTCATCCCGATCGCTCTCACGACACTCTTTACCTCTGCCCCACCCACATCCTGGAAGTGAACCTTTTCTCATGTCCTCCAGAATCACTCGCTCCGCCGCGAGAGTAGCTGCAGACTCCCTTCCGTCTACCGGCTCTGGTCCCTCTCCTGCGAACGCGGCCGCTGGTTCGGCTCCAAACCGGAAGCGAAAGGCCCCTGCGCGACGTGATCGATCGGTAGACGCCCCGGAACAGTCAAATCCTTCCTCTTCTCCCCGAAAATCCAAGCGACAGCGACGTGCAACTTCCCCCCGAGCGGCGCAGTCCCCTGCAACTACCCGCCGCGGTACTCGCAATCGTCCAGCTATGTCCCAACCTGGGTAAGATACGATCGGGATATTGATAGTATGTGGGCTGACTGAACCATGATTACAGTCCTTCATCACATCCTGCCGAGGATTCATCAAGAAATCAGGCCTCCCCTCCAGCGTCTAGACGGAAATCAAGCAGGAGCGGGAAGGTGTCACAAGGTGAGAACGGAACAGCCTGGTGGGGAAGAAGTTCTCACACCTCGGAGCCACATGGTCTACGCCCCTATGGATAGGATGAGCTGACTCTATGATAGATAATGCCTCGGCAGCTCAGCCATCGCCTCGTCGACAAAAAAAGCGCCCTTCCAGAGCCAGCCCCGATACTATCATGAAGGAGGCGGAAGAGGAGATGGAGGAGCAGGAACGAAGCGAAGAACGGGATTCTTCTCCTCCAAGTGATAGCCACGAGGGAACCATTCCCTCTGGTCTTGATGACGATGACGACGAGGATGACGGGGACCTTTTCCATAACAGTCTGTTTGGGTCGCGAAGCCCCTTGGGTCTGCAAAGCACCCTCCGTGCTCTGAGCGGCATGATGTCGGGCATGTCTTCGCGTTTGCGAGATATTCTGTGCAACCTGCGAATGAAGGATGACCCGTCCATTCAGCTGATCGCTCTGCAGGAGCTCTCTGATCTACTACTTGTATCAAATGAGGATAATCTTTCCGGCCAGTTTTCCCCAGATCCGTATGTAAAGGAATTGGTCGCCTTGATGCAGCCAAGCGATTTCGGTGAGGAAAATCCGGAGATCATGCTTCTCGCATGTCGCTGCTTGGCCAATTTGATGGAGGCCTTGCGTGGTTCCGTCGCCAATGTTGTCTACGGAGGAGCTGTCCCCGTCCTTTGCCAGAAGCTCCTAGACATTCAATTCATCGATCTGGCTGAGCAAGCTCTCAGCGTAAGTCACTCCTTGTCCTTTGTCATTCAATTACCCCTGTCGGGGGTGGGCAGGCTAACCAGTCGTTGCAGACTCTGGCGAAAATATCCGTGGATTTTCCCGCGTCTATCGTTCGCGAAGGGGGTTTGACGGCTTGGCTGACGTATCTTGATTTCTTCCCAACTAGTACACAGCGTACGGCAGTTACAACAGCAGCTAATTGTTGCCGCAACCTTCCTCACGACTCATTCCCGGTGGTTAGGGACGTCATGCCTACTCTGCTCAACGTTCTCGCCAGCAATGATCCCAAGGTTGTCGAGCAGGGCTGCTTATGTGTCTCCCGCATCGTTGAAAGCTTTAAGCATAAGCCAGAGAAGCTGGAAGAGCTCATTGAGCCTGCTATGCTCAAGGCTGTGCTTCGACTGCTCTTGCCCGGCACTACCAATCTCATCGGGCCTCATATTCATACGCAGTTCCTCCGTGTGCTGGCCATCACGTCGAAAGCGAGTCCGAGACTGTCCGTTGAATTGCTCAAGATGGATGTGGTCGACACTCTCTACCAGATCCTAACAGGAGTATCGCCGCCGGCAAACCTAGAGGACACCGCTGTGAAGATGGACAGTGTTCTTGTTATGCAAGCACTGATCCATCGCCCCCGCGAACAGGTGTTTGAAACTCTCAATGTTATTTGTGAGCTTTTACCGGGTGCGCCGAACCGGTTCCTCTCGACGGACAGCTTGCTTGGCTTGCCCGCTGAAGGCGATGCTGCTCGCCAGCCAAAATCGCCCAAGGCCAAGGAATCTGAAGAGAAACGGCGTTCGTTGCTCGTGGACTGCAAGACCGAATTGAAGCGCTTCGCGATGATCTTGCTGCCGACCTTGACCGATGCCTACTCTAGTACTGTTAACCTAGAGGTGCGCCAAAAGGTCCTGACCGCTCAGCACAAGATGCTGCATAATCTAGATGCCAGCTTGATTGAAGATGCATTGCGGACGGTTCCATATGCGTCGTTCTTGGCGGCCATCCTTTCACAGAAGGACCATCCGACTCTGGTGTCCTCTGCGCTACGCTGTGCGGAGATCCTTTTCCAGCGCTTGGAACATGTTTATCGCCACCAGTTCCACCGTGAAGGTGTCATTTCCGAGATATTCAAGCTTGCTGAGGGACCACTATCCACAGACAAGCAGAGGAAGCCAGCGAGCGATTCATCGCCGGCCCAGGAGACTATTGTGGATTCTAAGCCATCCCACGGTGGAAATGACGTGGTCG